ATACACATACATGTACATATACATATGCACATATACATATACACATTTACATATACATATACATATACATTTACACATACACATATATACATACATCACATCACACCACATCACATCGCATTACATTACAGTACATCACATTACATTACATACATATAATTACATATAATATAGCCATATTTCTAGGGGCCCCGTATCTCAACTTATGGAGGTAAGAATCCCATTGTTATAATATCTATGAATCGCCATGGTCCTGCACCCCCTGGACTTTCTGACTTGGCACAGGCGTTCATCGTTCGCTATGCCTTTCTATGTCAGGTGTGCCTGATCGGGTGACAACTCAGGTATGAAATTCGCAGATTCGCAGGGCAAATTGGCAAACGAGTTGCCTTTGGTCTTTTGCATATATATATATGATATGATATGTATTGATATGTAACATATACATGTGTAATCATGTGTGTCTCCTCTCTCGCTATCTATCTATCTATCTATCGATCGATCGATCGATCTATCTATCTATCGATCGATCTATCTATCTATCTATCTATCTATCTATATATGTATATGCATATATTGGCACACACACACACACCAATACGCTGATATTCAACATTTAGTCAACTTCACAGGTGATCCCAGTGGGTCACAGCTCCCCTGTCAGGTTGAACATTTCCCTGACACCTTTGGCAAATGTCTTGGCGCACGGAAAATTTAAGCTCGGACAGGTGCAGTGTGGGGAAAGCAGAGACAGATGCTGACAATTTGTAAGCAATGGTGGTTTACCTATCAACAAATGCTGATTTCATGGGATTCCATGGGATTTCATGGATGTTGGTGGAATGTAATGAGCATTTATCCTCTGGTAATTTCACCGTTTTTCATAGGGAAATCATTCAAACGTAGATGGGCCATTCCCCACAGCTGTGCGCATTCGATGGCATCACCCCGGCAGGAAATTGTTCTATTGAAGCTGCTTGGAGACTTCGCCTGGCTGCTTAGTTTCGCAGGGTTTCTGATTGGGATTCCCATGGGATTCCCCAAAGTCACGGAGGTACCTTCGCCTCGCCCCTAATGCCGGAAGGGGATGGAAGGGGAACAATGATACACGCAGCAAGAATAGCTCTGTCAGCATTATAAGGGGTCAATAGCCTCAGCTACTTTGATGGACTTGGATCAAAAGCCCGAAACCAGCCAGTGTCGTTCACAGTGGCAAGCCGCCTACACGATGGATGTCCATCCTCAACTGGAGCTTCCATGGTGACCCTCAATGGTGATGAACAGATCACCAGTTGATACCCACGGCAAAGGTTGGCCGTGTGCTGTTTTTCTGCCTGCCCGCTCCTAGGCAAGGGTGTTTGATCGGCCGATGTCGCTTTTTCATGGTTTTTTTCCATCTCTCGAAGATGGGCAGTGTTCAGATGATGTGGGCTACATTGGACTACTACATACTACCACAGTATACTAAAGTTAAGTTCCTGATCTTGCTGGGTTTCCAGGTGGTCACCCATTGTGGAAAATTTGATTTCTCAGGCAATTGAGGCTTCACCTGTGTCTGAACTGGGCCGCCCAAGCCTCAGCTCAAACTGTGGTGCCACCATCCACCGTAGAAACACCGAAACTGTTGGTTGCTGGACATTGTTTATGACCAGCACCAGCCATTTTGCTGATTTTCACTGATTGTTTTTGCTTGCAGGTATACTATAGTATACTGAGTATGTTTTTCTTTCCATTCTGGATCATGATCCCCAGCTACATTGAGGTGGTTGCTTTGCGTTTACCTGTTTGGCTTGTGTTGGTTGGACACGCGCTCAGCAAGGACTGGTTTCAAGAGTTAAAAGCAGGGTTTAGAAGGATACCAACGTACTCAATAGACATGTATATTTGTCAATACAAACATGTAATAATATGTGTATAATCATATATATATACTGCCGGACAGTCACTTAGAAGATTTTAAAAAAATGGAAACCCCACACTTAGAAGCTTGAAAATAACCCCACACTTAGAACGTAACACTTAGAAACAACTTTAAAATCATCATATTTTTTGACCCCACACTTAGAAAATTATTGGGTATCTTCTAAATGATTCTGCAGCAATCTTCTAAGTGTGATGTCGTCCCAGCTAACTATATATATATTCCCACATCATACTAGTAATATTATTACAAGAATACCCAAAAATACCACAAAAGAAAAACGGCTAGCTTTTTGTCCTTGAACCATATGCCAACCGAACACTGTGTACAAACTCACATATGTTTGTGCCCTTGCAAGTGCTCACATTTAGAACCTCTTGTTTGTATACATATACTATACGCACATATCCATATTATGTCTATATATATATATAAATAGATATGTACATATTTTACATATATATATATTCTTACACATAATTACATATTTTATATTATACATACATATGTTATAATTTTGCATGATTTTGCATGTATACACATTATTAGCCACTAATATACATATGTGTACCATGTAGGTTTATACATGCAGTTTTCCAAAGAGCCGAGAATGATTCAAGACCCCAGCAAGGTGCACCTAATTTGGCCGCAAGTGCTGCAAGAGCTACAAACTCTTGCTCTTTGCCAGGAGCCATGGTTCTCAGATCCAGTGCTACTGACCATTTGGCTGCCATTTGCCAACCTGGCGTGGTTTCAACTTGCTGATTTTTGCTACGGCTGTATTGTTCTTGGTGCGTTTGGGACCCACATTTTGAGCCATGAGACTCTGTTTTTGAGAGAGAATCTAGATGAATCTGCTAGGGAGGTGAAAGCTCAACCCTGTAGAAATCAATCGAATCGACAAATCTCCATCGCGACAGGTCGTCTCAGCTGCTTTCGGTGGAAGTTGGCTTCAAGTTCTGGCCATCCAGGCAGCAGATGAGCAAGAGAAGCGTGCAATTGTGGCACCCTCAACTGGCTTTGTCTGAGACCAGGGCAACCAGGGGAACCGATTTTGTTGGATGGCTGGGATATGCTGAGATCATTTGGCCTACTGAAACTATCTCATACTGCCATTTTCACTGTATCCCCCATGTTCAAAACCATTTGGGGGTTGGTCACCGTGGCTTCCCAAGGCTGCACGGATGAACATGGCCGTTTACTACGGCTTTGTCAGCGGCGCCTCTTGACAAGAGAAGCTCTTCTCAGTCGTTCGAATTTCTCAGTGGTTCGAATTGGATAGTTTTACACGCCAAAGAATCAAGCAAGATTCGGGATGGGTTGAAAATTGTTGAAACATGTTCGCTGCAACCCTGACGTTGCTGCGCGTCTGACTTCAGGTGGCTATGAAGATAAAGTTGATGTTATTCCCCCAATCAACATATTGTTCGTAAGAGGTGGCGAATTTTGATCCCTTATGAAGATAAAGTTGATGTTTTTACCCCAATCAACATATTGCTCATAGGGGGTGGCGAATTTTGATCCCTCATGGAGATATAGTTGATGCTATTACCCCAATCAACATATTGTTCATAGGGGTGGCGAATTTTGATCCCTCATGAAGATAAAGTTGATGCTATTACGCCAACCAACATATTGGGTTTCCCGGGGGGGTTTGCCGTGAGTCGGAATGAGTTTGCAAAGGGTTATATATGTTAAGATCATGTATGTCCATCCGCAGCCGTTTATTAGGAGGAAATTTCATGGTATTTTCAGTGTTTTTCATTGTTTTCACAGTAGCATTTGCAAGATGTTTGCATGATAAGGGATGATTGTTAAAGCCATGTTCATGTTCTGCGAACCAGATTTTTTCGCGGGATCCCGCGGAAAAATTAGCAGGATTTTCAACTTGAGATTTGTTGGAAACAGAAATAAAGTTGCGTGTTCTATTGGAACCGCATAATTACATTTTCTTCGGAGCCATGTTGAGTTTCGATGAATTGTTCGAATGTTTGGTGCTATTGATCGCGTGCCGCATGAGTGGCAACTTTTCCTGGCAGACTGCAGTTCTTCATTGGCCCTTTTTGCGGCCTATGATTGCATGGCTTGAGTTGACAATAGCGGACGTCCATGAATATGCTGAGATGATGAATCGATCTATTAGTGATGATCAAGAGCGGCAGGTTGCTCTCAGCATGGAACACCACGGGTGTCCTCCCGGGCCTCCTTTTTCTGCCATTTCGATTTCAGTGCTTCACTGGTTTCGAAGAATGTGGCAACGTGTCTCGCATGACTCTATGTTTTATTTTCATTCTGCGGAGACAGGTGTGAATTTTTTCGTGGTTGGGTTTGGTCAGTTGAGGCTCCTTGGATGCGAACCTAGTGGGAACGGAGACGAGGTTTCTTGACATGGGTGAAGACGTTCATTCGTGCATGGCATTGACATCAAACGACAAGTTGTGCACGGTGAGAAACTCTGACAAGATCTATTCCTTCGAGGTGGTATGTGACTACGTGTCCTTGATGTTCAGAAGGCAAAGATGTGACTTCGGAAGTAATGAGGTGGCCTTTCAATTTTTTGAAAGTGTGGTTCCTGTCCAAGAAGTTGCAGAAGACATTCCTGTAACAGAGTTGGACAATAGCACTTCTTCAGAAGAGCAGCCATTGCCACCTGCGGTCGATTTTAGCTTAACCTTTTCTCCGAAACAATGGAGCCACTGGATAGACATGTTTTCGTCTGAGAGCAGCCAAATTTTGAATGATTCTTTTTGTGAAGAGGATGATTCTCCGAGGACACAGCAACTCAAAAAGGCGGTTCAAAGCCAATTTTTTGTCAAGTCTTTGTTTCCTGTCGAACAAAAGAAAAGGAAACGGGATAACTCAAAGACTTCAAGTCCACGCATTTTCGGATGGACTAAGTGGGGACGATGTGACATGTGTTTCAACTGTTTGAAGCCATGTGTGATTTGGTCGGGTCCACTGGAGGGGTATCCAGTGCTGCGTTGTGTGTGGGTCGAAAAGACAGACCTCAGAAATGTTCATTTACGAAACGATTCGCGGAAGATCGCATTCCGACTCTTCCGATCAATATCTTGCACGCCATCAACATCTTGCGGTCTAGCCCGAGATTTCAAGCAAGACATCCGGGTCGACAGGTGTTCTTTCCGTTACCAGACCATGCACGCGACACTGAGGGGTAAAACAATGTGAGAACTCATTGCATCGTAGCATCGACGTGATGTTGCTGTCATTGCACGTGTGACAGCAGGTTTGAGAAATGCCCAGGGTTGTCTGACATATGGCAGGAAGTAACTGTGCACACGGAAATCGTTGTAGATGGACCCGTCACATGCATGAAGCAATTATGCGTATCAGTTTTGGCCCGAAAAGACATGAAGGGGAATCTTGGGAAAGAGAAGACACGGTCACGGTATGCTTCTGGCAGACCAAAGCCAGTGTCCCGCACCGTCGCAACGAGTTCTGGTGTGAATCGAAAATTCCACACTTTAGGCATCAAATACTCTCCAGGTTCTTCGGTTGGAAGACAACGCCTCCTCAGAAATTTGAAGCAAATCAGTTTTGCAGAGCTCAGCACATGGAGTGAGCAATATTCTGAACGTTGGCTGCAGCAGCGTGGCTTCTTTAGCAAGAAGACAGGTCACAAATGCTGGATCTGCCGAAGAAATATGGCCAAAACTACAGATGCAGATGTGTTAAGATGTTCCTATTCTTCTTGCCCCGGAAGACAGCCACGTACCTTGGATTAATTCATTCTCAAGTTTCTCTCTTTGATTCTCCCGAAAAGAACCATTGTTTCTTTTGAGAATCAAAACGGTGTGTGAGGTTTGAATGGATGGCGTACTGCCTGGAGCCCCTTTGGAGCCCGGAAAAAAGGCGGGCATGCTATTCAGGCGAAGCAGTTCATTCAAACCATCTACTGCGCGGCCCTACGTATTCCACAGGATGCGACGGTACATCTTGTGGGAGCGAGCGAAGGTTATGTTGCTGAGACGTTCAGACAAGTGCGCTTTGTATGCGCATGGAAACAGAGCCTCGTGTGCGGGAGTTGAGCTTGTTTTTTATGTCTCACGTGCAAGGAACTACTTTCCCAACTTTTGTTTTAATAAACCTGTTACAACCAAATACGCTCCGTCTCCACATCGTCAGGATGCATGAATCCAAGCATGCTGTCCTTCCTGCTGGCATTGTAGAATGGGATTCAGCACGAACCGCCGTGGCGAAGAAGAAGGATCGGCGAACCATGACGGCACATGCAAAGGCTGCTGCAAAAAAACGTTTGCAGCAAGTTTTGAAAAGACCGAGTGCACAGAAGAAACCAGCTTCAAAAGTAGCTGTGCATGCTGGACGTTTGCTGCTCGGAGCACATCGTAGCTCCAAGCAAAAAATCCTGTTGCCTCTTCCAAATAAAAGAACGGAAAAACATGCTCCGGGCCCTCCGGAATCAAAAGAAGAAATTATCGGTTGGTTGAAGGAAAAAACGGACCCTGCACGACATGTGGTCGGTAGCGATGCCAGCAAAGGTTTAAGATCTGCTTTCAAGGAAATCGGAGTAGAACAGGCAACAGCGAAGCATTCACAAAGTGAATACACCCCTGTTAGAAAGCTCAACATTAAAAATGTTGCCAAAAGAGCGCTCAAAAGAATGAAAGGAGCCTGTAAAGTGTCCAAACAAACCATCAGCTTGGTGGGAGGTGACCAACACTGTGAGTCGCTCGCCAGCTCGGTCAAACGATCGCTGAGGCGAGCAGGGAAGTTAGGAAAGAACGGTGCAAGACTTCAAGGCAGTCATATCGATCCACTTGGTTTGTACTATTTATCCCAACACCCTGGACTCGACAATGTTGCGAAGGCCTTTAAAGACTACCGCGAATCTGTTGAAGACAGAATTGCGCCGGGTAGTGCCTTCCAGGACACCTCATGGCTGAATGCAGACTGAAGCTCAGAGAGGAAAAAGAGGCAGCCGAAGATTGCAGGACAGCTATTCCTATGTTCTTCATTCGCCCTAGCGTAGCATGACGTATGTGTCGAAGTCCAAGAGAAACTAGCAATAGCGTAGCCTGACGTATGTGCGGAACTCTAAGAGAACCTAGCAGTCGCAATGAACGTTAACATCCCCCCCACCCCCCCCACCCCTACAGATGTCGCTGCTGAGATGTGTTAAGATGTCCCCCAATCCATATTGGCTGTCTTGCAACCCGGAAGACAGCCACGTATCCCTTGGATAAATTAATTCATATTGGGTTTCCCGGGGGGGTTTGCCGTGAGTCGGAATGAGTTTGCAAAGGGTTACATATGTTAAGATCATGTATGTCCATCCGCAGCCGTTTATTAGGAGGAAATTTCATGGTATTTTCAGTGTTTTTCATTGTTTTCAAAGTAGCATTTGCAAGATGTTTGCATGATAAGGGATGATTGTTAAAGCCATGTTCATGTTCTGCGAACCAGATTTTTTCGCGGGATCCCGCGGAAAAATTAGCAGGATTTTCAACTTGAGATTTGTTGGAAACAGAAATAAAGTTGCGTGTTCTATTGGAACCGCATAATTACATTTTCTTCGGAGCCATGTTGAGTTTCGATGAATTGTTCGAATGTTTGGTGCTATTGATCGCGTGCCGCATGAGTGGCAACTTTTCCTGGCAGACTGCAGTTCTTCATTGGCCCTTTTTGCGGCCTATGATTGCATGGCTTGAGTTGACAATAGCGGACGTCCATGAATATGCTGAGATGATGAATCGATCTATTAGTGATGATCAAGAGCGGCAGGTTGCTCTCAGCATGGAACACCACGGGTGTCCTCCCGGGCCTCCTTTTTCTGCCATTTCGATTTCAGTGCTTCACTGGTTTCGAAGAATGTGGCAACGTGTCTCGCATGACTCTATGTTTTATTTTCATTCTGCGGAGACAGGTGTGAATTTTTTCGTGGTTGGGTTTGGTCAGTTGAGGCTCCTTGGATGCGAACCTAGTGGGAACGGAGACGAGGTTTCTTGACATGGGTGAAGACGTTCATTCGTGCATGGCATTGACATCAAACGACAAGTTGTGCACGGTGAGAAACTCTGACAAGATCTATTCCTTCGAGGTGGTATGTGACTACGTGTCCTTGATGTTCAGAAGGCAAAGATGTGACTTCGGAAGTAATGAGGTGGCCTTTCAATTTTTTGAAAGTGTGGTTCCTGTCCAAGAAGTTGCAGAAGACATTCCTGTAACAGAGTTGGACAATAGCACTTCTTCAGAAGAGCAGCCATTGCCACCTGCGGTCGATTTTAGCTTAACCTTTTCTCCGAAACAATGGAGCCACTGGATAGACATGTTTTCGTCTGAGAGCAGCCAAATTTTGAATGATTCTTTTTGTGAAGAGGATGATTCTCCGAGGACACAGCAACTCAAAAAGGCGGTTCAAAGCCAATTTTTTGTCAAGTCTTTGTTTCCTGTCGAACAAAAGAAAAGGAAACGGGATAACTCAAAGACTTCAAGTCCACGCATTTTCGGATGGACTAAGTGGGGACGATGTGACATGTGTTTCAACTGTTTGAAGCCATGTGTGATTTGGTCGGGTCCACTGGAGGGGTATCCAGTGCTGCGTTGTGTGGGTCGAAAAGACAGACCTCAGAAATGTTCATTTACGAAACGATTCACGGAAGATCGCATTCCGACTCTTCCGATCAATATCTTGCACGCCATCAACATCTTGCGGTCTAGCCCGAGATTTCAAGCAAGACATCCGGGTCGACAGGTGTTCTTTCCGTTACCAGACCATGCACGCGACACTGAGGGGTAAAACAATGTGAGAACTCATGCATCGTAGCATCGACGTGATGTTGCTGTTATTGCACGTGTGACAGCAGGTTTGAGAAATGCCCAGGGTTGTCTGACATATGGCAGGAAGTAACTGTGCACACGGAAATCGTTGTAGATGGACCCGTCACATGCATGAAGCAATTATGCGTATCAGTTTTGGCCCGAAAAGACATGAAGGGGAATCTTGGGAAAGAGAAGACACGGTCACGGTATGCTTCTGGCAGACCAAAGCCAGTGTCCCGCACCGTCGCAACGAGTTCTGGTGTGAATCGAAAATTCCACACTTTAGGCATCAAATACTCTCCAGGTTCTTCGGTTGGAAGACAACGCCTCCTCAGAAATTTGAAGCAAATCAGTTTTGCAGAGCTCAGCACATGGAGTGAGCAATATTCTGAACGTTGGCTGCAGCAGCGTGGCTTCTTTAGCAAGAAGACAGGTCACAAATGCTGGATCTGCCGAAGAAATATGGCCAAAACTACAGATGCAGATGTGTTAAGATGTTCCTATTCTTCTTGCCCCGGAAGACAGCCACGTACCTTGGATTAATTCATTCTCAAGTTTCTCTCTTTGATTCTCCCGAAAAGAACCATTGTTTCTTTTGAGAATCAAAACGGTGTGTGAGGTTTGAATGGATGGCGTACTGCCTGGAGCCCCTTTGGAGCCCGGAAAAAAGGCGGGCATGCTATTCAGGCGAAGCAGTTCATTCAAACCATCTACTGCGCGGCCCTACGTATTCCACAGGATGCGACGGTACATCTTGTGGGAGCGAGCGAAGGTTATGTTGCTGAGACGTTCAGACAAGTGCGCTTTGTATGCGCATGGAAACAGAGCCTCGTGTGCGGGAGTTGAGCTTGTTTTTTATGTCTCACGTGCAAGGAACTACTTTCCCAACTTTTGTTTTAATAAACCTGTTACAACCAAATACGCTCCGTCTCCACATCGTCAGGATGCATGAATCCAAGCATGCTGTCCTTCCTGCTGGCATTGTAGAATGGGATTCAGCACGAACCGCCGTGGCGAAGAAGAAGGATCGGCGAACCATGACGGCACATGCAAAGGCTGCTGCAAAAAAACGTTTGCAGCAAGTTTTGAAAAGACCGAGTGCACAGAAGAAACCAGCTTCAAAAGTAGCTGTGCATGCTGGACGTTTGCTGCTCGGAGCACATCGTAGCTCCAAGCAAAAAATCCTGTTGCCTCTTCCAAATAAAAGAACGGAAAAACATGCTCCGGGCCCTCCGGAATCAAAAGAAGAAATTATCGGTTGGTTGAAGAAAAAAACGGACCCTGCACGACATGTGGTCGGTAGCGATGCCAGCACAGGTTTAAGATCTGCTTTCAAGGAAATCGGAGTAGAACAGGCAACAGCGAAGCATTCACAAAGTGAATACACCCCTGTTAGAAAGCTCAACATTAAAAAAGTTGCCAAAAGAGCGCTCAAAAGAATGAAAGGAGCCTGTAAAGTGTCCAAACAAACCATCAGCTTGGTGGGAGGTGACCAACACTGTGAGTCGCTCGCCAGCTCGGTCAAACGATCGCTGAGGCGAGCAGGGAAGTTAGGAAAGAACGGTGCAAGACTTCAAGGCAGTCATATCGATCCACTTGGTTTGTACTATTTATCCCAACACCCTGGACTCGACAATGTTGCGAAGGCCTTTAAAGACTACCGCGAATCTGTTGAAGACAGAATTGCGCCGGGTAGTGCCTTCCAGGACACCTCATGGCTGAATGCAGACTGAAGCTCAGAGAGAAAAAAGAGGCAGCCGAAGATTGCAGGACAGCTATTCCTATGTTCTTCATTCGCCCTAGCGTAGCATGACGTATGTGTCGAAGTCCAAGAGAAACTAGCAATAGCGTAGCCTGACGTATGTGCGGAACTCTAAGAGAACCTAGCAGTCGCAATGAACGTTAACATAACATCCCCCCCCCCCCCCCCCACCCCCCCACCCCCCAGAAAGTAGCGTAGCATTACGTATGTCGGAAGTCCAAGAGAACCTAGCAGTCGCCATGAACGTTAACATCCCCCCCACCCCCCCCACCCCCCCCACCCACCCACCCCCCCCAAAGTAGCGTAGCATTACGTATGTGCGGAAGTCCAAGAGAACCTAGCAGTCGCAATGAACGTTAACATCCCCCCCACCACCCCACCACCCAACCAATGGTCACGAGCTCAGAAACCTTCTTTGCTTCGGCAAACCCCTACGGTTGACCCAACATATTGTTCATAGGGGGTGGCGAATTTTGATCCCTCATGAAGATAAAGTTGATGTTTTTACCCCAACCAACATATTGCTCATAGGGGGTGGCGAATTTTGATCCCTTATGAAGATAAAGTTGATGTTTTTACCCCAATCAACATATTGCTCATAGGGGGTGGCGAATTTTGATCCCTCATGGAGATATAGTTGATGCTATTACCCCAATCAACATATTGTTCATAGGGGTGGCGAATTTTGATCCCTCATAAAGATAAAGATGATGATGATTATGATGATGATGATGAGGATGATGAGGATGATGACGATGATGACGATGATGACGATGATGATGATGATGATGACGATGATGATGATGGTGATGATGATCATGACAATTGTAAATGTGGAGCAACGTCCGGGTTGGGGCGAACATGTTAAAACCATCAACCAATTCAGAAGGCACATGCGGTTACTCTAATCTTATCTGGGTATGCATCCAGAATGGGGATCCCAAACTGCGATGGCTTACTAACTAGTGAACACGGACACAGCTATGTGGTCCTTCGGGTCTTCTATTTTGACCCACACCCATGTGATCCCATGCTGCTTTTGCAGCCGCAGACAATTTTGAAAACGTTTATAAACAAATCATATAAGAATGACACGCATGTATGGAGTGCAACATGTTTTCGCAATGATGGTTCTATTTTTCTATCAACACGACATGCATGAAGCGTCATTGGGCTGAGGTGGTTTTCGCAGCGGTATTCGCCTTTGCAGGGGCCTCACGGGTCTATGTTTTTCCAGGTTGCAGAAAGTCGGATGATGTCAGATACCTACTTTGTGTGTCCATCTTTCTTGTGTTTCCACTTTCTCAAATTTCGTTGGTGTGTGGGTTTCTCTGTGGCCAAGCATTTTGGGGGTATGTGTTACCAACACGTCATGGGTCACTTGATTCCTAGGCAGCTGGCTGAGTAGATCCAAAAGCCACCGCCTTCAATGCCGTGTGTCCGAAGAGCCTGCATCGCACCACATGGCTTTGTCCAGAAATGGCCACCCAGTGTATGGCCATTGAATAGTGATGTACTGAACGTGAAATTTTGGGGGTGCATATGCAATCATAAGTCTGGTTTTTGGACAAACCCATGTAACCAGATTGTGGCAAGTCCAAGCATCAGATGAATACCTGAAAAAGTGGAATTTGACATGGCTTAGGATGGTTGCAGAGGCACACTGAAGATATGAGTGTGTTTGAAGATGGGAACACCCATCAAACTGCAATTCCAGTGCACAATATGATGATTCTATAAATATGAACGATATGACATTTGGGGGTACCCTGTCTTCAGACAAAGCTGGAACATTTACAGGACGCCCCAATATTTGGGAGTAAAAGCCACAGTTTCCTGCAGATGTTCCCTCAGTTTTCAATCCATTGAAAACCTATTGGGCCCCATCAAATCCCATTATTCAATTTATGTCACTATCATATCCCCATGATATCCTATGGATTTGTGACTTGCCTCGTTGAATCGCAGTTTCCCCGCGGGCCCAGCCTTGACGGCCCAGAGGTTCCACTGGTGGCATTGGAACCATGAAGAACATGAACAACACCTCTGATGGGCTACATCGGGAGGCTAAGTATAATAGGCATAGGGAAATATTTACCAACCATGATCAACGCATATTATATGCTAACAATATGGGTGTGTATACTCACAATTGGGGTGTTATTGGGAATCATTGCAAGCCTACCCAAGGAGTTTTTGCTGGGATGGGAAAAGTGTTATTTTTCAAAAGTTAATGGGCGAATGGATCTGAACGGGTCATGATATATTGAATAAATGACCTTGGTTTCTACTAAGTGTGCAATAGTGTGCATGTTACTGTAAAGCCAAAGGTTACTGTTGGAAAGGGTACCAAGGCAAACGCAATCAAATAGATTCGCTGCTCAAAGACGTAAAGTCGCCAAGAATCGCCAGGAATTCTCTGAGTCAGTCTGCTTCAGAGGGAACCTCTGCTCACATTGTGGACATTGCATGGGCGGATCAGAGTCGGCCGCGAAGCAATGCTCGTGGAATGTCGTGGATGCACATCCCCAGAGTGACATCGATTCCGAGCTCGTGCTCAGAAAAGGATGCAGATCTGAGCTCGTGGCGTCGTGGCGTCGCAAATTCTCCAATCCCCAAATCTGATGGCACTTGGTTCATCAAGACCCATCGTTCATTATTTTGGTATCCGATGTTTAATCCAAATCATACCCAAATCCAATGCGTCAAATCCGCCCGAGACAAAGCTATGAAATGTGGCCTCAAACGTCCCAGGTACGAGCCTGGCAAGGTGAACTTCCAGAATGACTCTTTTGAGAGGCCCGGCCTGGATCCATCATGATCCATCTCCGTTGCTCCCGATGCTATCAATGGGATGGTGGCGCGGTGCCCGCAGCCGTAAGCACCAGGCCGCAACTGCTAGCACTTTGTGAGAAACTGGTGCACTCCGGACAGGAGGCACTGCTGGTAGCTGTGCCAAAGGCTTGGTGATGGATTTTGGAGAAAACAACAAGCCAGTTGAGGTTTATATCAGTTTATGTCTCATTGATGTTAATATGATGGTACATGGGAATATGTATGAATGATACTGAATGATTATGATTATGTATCCATAGTTTAGCCATGTTTAGTCCTTGTTGGTTGATGGTTTTACTCTGAGCGAGGCGTTGTCCAAGGGGCCAAAGCCCTGAGCTCGGATGTAGCTGGCTGAAACGCAAGAGGGATGGTTTGTTCATGGCAAAAAGATGCAGAAGGTGTCAGAAAATTAAGTAGCTAAGTCTTAGCTAAGTCTTAGCTAAGTCTTAGCTAAGTCTTAGCTAAGTAGTTAGCTAAGTAGTTAGGTAATGTTAGGTACAGTCCATCTGAAAGTTGTTCCTTAATACTGCTTGACTTGGAATACATGAGTAAAATCCACTGAAATCCCACTAGAATCATGACATTGCAAACCCAGCTGAGGCGCCCGGGCAAGGAGAACCTGCAGATGTGCGCTGAAAGTCCTTCACGAGTCCAGGTGTCTTGTTGTTTTTGGGCCTAGGAGGTGCCGTGATAGACATAGCAGATGGATTATGTGCATTGCCATTTCTGATCAAGGATTCTTTACGTGATGCTGCAGTAAATGGTGATGTCTCAAAGCTGCCATATTTGAGCAGGATCACATGTGTTTGGGATATATGTATATATATATATTTATTTGTTTATTTATTTATTTAAATATATTAGAATGTTATGAATGTGACACAAAAAGACATCCGTTATGTCAGTGAATAGTGAAAGTAGATGGGGGGGATACCAACCTGGTGGGCCAAAAGTGACAAGGCTGGGATGTTTTCAACCCATTGAACTGGTACACAGTTCGTGAGAGTTGATGAGAGTCTTCAAAGTCACGCTGCTAAAAGCATAGATTCGCTGCTTGGAGCCCCGTGTTTTGTACGTGATATATTTATATATTACAGTCATATTTACTTATGGAATTAATTAATGTCCCAGTTCCAACTCCCCTACTATTTGGCCAATATCTAATTTCGTGATATGTCGGGTTTGTTCAAAAGTTTGCAAAATGGTTGGTCAGGTTTACCACTAGTAAAAACCAACCATGTTCAATCATGAACCAATCCTTTCATATCAACATATCTCAACCATTGATAAGAAGTACCATCTGGTTATTTAACATAGCCATGGAAAATCACCATGTTTAATAGGTAAACCCAGGTAAACCATCTATAAATGGGCCATTTTCCATGGCTATGTTAAATAACCAGATGGTAAGATCAAATCCAAAACAATCACCATCAATGGTTCGTTAAGTTGACATGACTTGACCATGAAAAAACCGATGAACGATCCCAGGCGAGACTCGGCACAAGTTGCGGCTCCAGGCAAGGGGAAGTTCATCATGTTTCATATGAAAATGATTTAAGATGGCCATTCACATGGCCATAAATTAAAGATTACCACACTAACTACATCGCATTGTTTGACACTCCCAAATAAGAATTGGAAAAGAACAGTCAGCGAAAAATCCGACATCCTGAGTTTGAGAGTGAGCTCTCAGGGAGACCTCCTTCATAAATACGATCATGAACAATCAAATGTTGACAAATAGTCGCGGTGGGCAGCTGGAGGGATGTTCATTTCATGCGGAATTTGCCCTAGCTCTGATTAGTGCAGTGGGGGGATGCTTGGCTTGGCCCTGTTTCAGGCCAAAAGATGATCGAGCCAGCACGGCGACCACGAAGGCAGGAGCACTTGATCAGTGTAGTAGTGTGCTAAACCCCTGTAATAGGAGATTTATACTATATACTATATACTATATACGATATACTGAAATACTATATACTAATATACTGATATACTGAAATACTATATACTAATATACTGATATTCTGATATACTGATATACTGATATACTGATATACTGATATACTATATACTAATATACTAATATACTAATATTGTGAAGTTTTGCATGGCCCCTGCACAGGATGACACGCACATAGGATCAGAAGTGTAACCAACTGACATGTCCCGCAGAGCGCTCTTGAGTGGATCAAAATCGAGTTTGGTAGCGGAGCGCTTCGGTGCTCGCTATCTGCGGAGCCATTGGCCTGCTGCTGCTCGATCGGCTGCTACCTCCAACGAGGTTGCCGTGTGAGCACGGCTGGTCTGGCACTGCGGTGGCGACCTACATCCAGGACAAAGGCATCACGACGAAGGAGCACTACAACCTGCAGAACCCGGCGACGCACTTCCTGGTGGCTGCTGGTGGTGGCTTCATCCTGAACATCACCTACTGCATCATCTTGGTCTTCGTCTACGGCATCTTCCTGAACGACCTCTACGCCTTCGACCTCAAGCTGCACTTCGTGGACCTCGAGCTGAACTACGTGGACATCCTGCTGAACTCCGTGGGCTACAAGCCGTTGGACTTCGAGATGCACCAGCCTCCTTCCTCAAGCGGAAGCATACCGCTTCAGGAATATCGAAGAGATATTCCACCTGGTTGGTCACCAGGGAATCCAGCCTACCCGCTGAAGGAGTACTTTGAGAAGCTCAGGTTATGGTACCGAGTATGTGGCTTGGAGGACGAGCTGATCGGCCCCATGATAGCTGGCCGCTTGTATGGCTGTGCCTCCAAGGTGGCGATGGCTCTGAGGGTGAGAAGGCCTGATGGCACCTATGACGTGGGCGACGCGGCGCTGGTCAGATTGGCCGTGGATGAGGTGGTCGATCCGAACACTGGCCAGGTGATCCAGGCCCACATTCCCAGCGGAGTTCACCACTTGGTTCAAGCTCTCCGCAATGCCTTTGGCCAACAAGACCATGACATGGCCACTCAGGCGCTGGAGAGGTTTTTCTCTCTCACGAGAGGAAAGATGAGCCTTGCCGAGTATGCGGTGGAGTTTGATTCGAGGATGGATGAGGCTCACGACAGAGCCGGCCTTGTCATGAACGATGTGGCGAAGTTCTACCTGTTCTTCAAGGGTTCAGGTTTGAGCAACAAGGCCATCGACGACATCAAGCTCCAGGTCCAAGGAGATCACAGTCGCTTTGCAGATGCTCGAGCTTTAGCTTTGAGGTTGTCTCCATCTCGACCCGAAGAACATGGCGGCGACGTCTTCTATGCGGACCAGGACGACTATGACGAGACGGTCAACTATGACGCCTGGTATGACTCCTCCGAGAACTATTGGTACGACGACTACTCCCAGGACTATGGCTATGACGATGAAGGCAGTTGGCACTGGGATGGAGAAGAGCTCTACTATGGCGACATGGATGACTGGTATGATGAAGATCAAGAATGGCAAGAAGAAGGCTACCAAACCGCCCGTGAAGACTCCCTGGAGACAAACCCTGAGAATGCCGACGAGGTCAAGGAAGAGTACTACAAGGGGAAGAGCAAAGGCAAGGGCAACAACGATGGTTGCTTTCGATGTGGAAGCAAATGGCACATGGCCAGAGACTGTCCGATGAATGACAAGGGCTATGGCAAGTCTGGTGGAAAAGGATCGATGAAAGGCAAGTCAAAAGGAATGAGCAAAGGTGGATGGCGATGGCGCCCCAACTACAAAGGAAGCTACAAGGGCAAAGGCAAAGGCAAGAAAGGTGGATACAAGGGTTCCAAAGGCTATGGCAAGACCAACTGGTACGTCCATCGACCCCCTTTGGACGCCTACGATGGAATCCCTTCCAATGTGCCGAGGCAAGACAACTCCGAGGAGTTCAACATCCACACACCGCCTGATGCAGAGGACTTCATGAGCATCCCGAGATCTTCAACCAGGACAAGATCTACTTCGGATGGTCATGGACAAGAACATGGAGCTGTCATGCCGGAGAAGCGCATCCACGAGGCCTTCAGCTTTGCCTTCAACAACTACTACCAGGCCACGGACTACTTCATGGTCAGAGGACAGAAACGTCGAGGCCTGATCATTGATCCAGGAGCTGCCAGCGGACTCATCGGATCAGAGACCCTTCGAGATCTGGTGGCAACATGTGTCAAGCCCTTCGGCAAGGAGATCTCCATCGAGAAGGACGTGACCTCACCGGTGTCAGGCATTGATGGAAAGTCTGACCAGACTCTTGGACGAGTCACTGTGCCTTTGCTGTCGTCTGGAAAGGCCATCAAGTTCTGCGGTGAAGTGATTGGAGGACAAGGTTCTCTTTGCCCAGCTCTAGTTGGAAATCCTTCCCTGAGGAAGATGAACTGTGTCATCTTCAGCAACTACTTTTCCAACGGTGATGGACTCCTCGCCATGAACCACAAGGAGGAGCCACAGTCATCGAGATTGCTGAGATTGCTGTTGACTGACAGCGGACACTACATCCTTGCCACCGACGGCATTGACGAGACCAAGATCACCAAGGACGTGCAAAAGGAGACCTACACGTTCTGCAGTCAAGTGCTCTCTAGCAGCATCGAGAAATGGCCAAAGTCCGAGATCAATCCCCGGTTGCTTCATGTCTTCGCTGTGACGCAGGCAGGAGGGAACCGGTGTGAACAACAACAATATGAATCACGTGAACATCGTGAACAACAAGAATCCTCCTCTACTGACGACAAGGACAATGGCGACAAAGCTGCCAACATCATGGACAAGCCCGACAAGACTGACACTGATGCGACAGTCACCCATGAATCTGATGGCAAGCTCAACTTGGACAAGAACAACCACGATGCTGTCGAAGCTGTTTCACAACCAGGCATTTTGCCTTCCATGGAATCCACAAAGGAGCCCAACAAGCACAACGTTTTTTCCAGTGAGCCTAAGCTCTGCGGGCCTACATCTTTTTCTGCGACAACTGAGGAGTTGCCGAAGATTGTCAAGAAGGTGCACTTCGACGATGCGCATCAGCCTGCCTCTTTGGAAGCAGCATCCAACAACGTTGAAGAGCCCTCCAACAAGGATGAGAAAGACTCCCTGGACATCCACTACAAGGAGTCTGACTTTCCCATCTACACCGAGGACATGCTTCCTGATGGAGCAGACCATGTCAAGCTGAAGAAGCGCTACAAGGCGATCAAAGAGGAGTTCTACACTCAAAGTGGTCACCGACCAGTGACACCCTCCAACTTTCGCAGTTGGATGAACAAGTCCAAGGGCAGAAACAAGAGATGGCACTTCTGGGAAATCTTCAGTGGCTCAGGCAGACTCTCCCTGACGCTTTTGCTTTCAGGCTTAGCAGTTGGACCTCCAATCGACATGAGGTATGGCTGGGACGTCAACAACACTTCTCATCAAGCCATGCTTCTGGAAGCCCAACGAGCGTTCAAGCCTGGCACTATCCACTACGCACCAGACTGTGCACCCTGGAGTGTGTCATCAAGTTCCAAGGATCCAGCACTACGACATCAAGATCGTCTTCATGATCTTCCAGCCTTGAAGTTTGTCCAGAACAGCTGTGAAGAACAATCCCGAGAAGGACGCGGCTACACTGTGGAGCAGCCCTATGGCAGTGCCATGATGGATGAAGGCTTGCGCCTTGACCGCATCCCTGACTGCAAGAAGAAACAACGAGTTGACCAATGCATGCATGGTGCAGTCAGCGAACTTGGTGATCCTGTCCAGAAGGCAACAGCCCTGATTGGCAACATCAAGTACAACAAGACAGCTTTGAGGTGCAGTGGTCATCAAGGTCAACCACATGCTCATCTACAAGGGCAGACTGGTGGTCACAATCGCACCACTCTTGCTGCGGTGTACCCAAAACAGATGTGCCAACGAATGCGGCAGGACATCATCAAGTACCTCCACAACCGCGACCTCATGCGGGTGAAGACTGAGAACTTCTATGAGTGCGTTCGCTGTACCTTGGGACGCTTTTGCCCAAAAGGAATTGACCACACCATGATTCCTGGACAATGTCGACATGGACGCTATGCAGCTGGGACCAATCCAAAGTTGAAGTCAACGTCATCTGCGGCTGACCCCATCACTGACTGGAAGAAGGCGGCAGACCGCGAAGCTTTGGATGTTGTCCAACTCGACAACGAGCTTGACAAGGAGTTCAACGTCAAGGAGTCCCACTACCTGAAGAAGCTGCTCATTGAATCAGTGAACAACGCTCTTGGCCTGTTCACAGAAGCCTCCAACCGCAAGATCGACTACACCCACTGGATCGACAATCCTGTGGCGATTGCCTTGTTCAAGGAGCTGTTCAAAGAAGTCATGCAGGTGAAAGCCATCAAGGTTTTGCTGCGACCTTTCAGAAAATCCTCAGCTGAACCACACCTTTCTATGGCTTCTGGCTACCTGCGGCTGTTCATCATTGGCGATGTGAAGCACTGGAAAGTTCTGAAGATTGAAGACATGAGAGAGCTCGGCTTCAGCCAGATCAACGAGGCGATAGATGAGGATGACTGGGTTCTGGTCTTGTATGGTGTCGAACTTGATTCAGTACCAGCACCATCGACACCCGCTGCACGATCCAGATCTATCCCAGCTCAGCCTGCACTACCACCTCGACGAGATGATGCAGCACTTGTTCCAGCGGAACCACAACCCCAAATCCAAGAACGACCTGATGATGAACGAGAAGAAGAAGCTCTGGCTATTCCAGCATATGAAGAGTTCGAGGCACATGGACGAGCTGCACTAGCTCCAGTCAAGCCCAACTACAACTTGCGGCGAGTTCTTGAACGACTTCCCAAATTGGTGGATTCTGGTGACGTGACCACAGCCAAGAGACTGTTGGTCGGCCTTCATGAACGACTTTGGCACACACCGGCAGGAGACTTTTGCAACCTCCTTCGCCGAGCTGGACTTCCTCAACCAGTGATCACCCTTGCAGCTGAAGCAGTTCAAAGCTGCGTGGTGTGCCGGAAGTTTGTCAGATTGCCAAATCGTCCACAAGTACGAGCTGGAGGTGCAACCATCTTCAACGAGACGGTTCAGTTCGACTTGTTCCACCTGGACGACGTCACATACATGATCCTGCTGGATGAAGCTACTCGCTTCAAGACCTGCTCAGTTCCTGAAGGACAAGATGCACAACAGTTGCTGGCCTCTATGCTTCAGAACTGGATTCAGTTCTTTGGTCCACCTGCCCGACTTGTGCTGGACCAACAAGCCTCTCTGATGTCACATGAAGCTGGAGGTGAATTCGAACGGATGAACATCGTTCGATGTCCCAGAGGAACGACTCAAGGACAAGGTGCCGAACAACACACTGGAACTGGCTTGGTTGAACGACATGTTCAACTTACCAAGCTCACTATCATGAAGTTGAAAGCCGAGCTTCAACGCCAAGGTCTGAACCCAGAACCAGCTGAACTTGGAATGGAAAGCGCCATGGCGCACAACCAGACGATCAACTATGGAGGTGCCACACCAAGCATGAGCGTTTTTGGCATCCTTCCACGTGGGTTCTACGACCCTGAGACTCCAGGTCTTCTTTCCACTTTTGGCTCCATGCAGAAGGACGTGACGGTGTTCGAACGCGCTATGCGCATCAGGCAGACTGCCTTGGCCCAGACACATCAAGCGATCATTGAAGATCGTGTCGCAAGAGCCAACCGACATCGTCCTCACCAGCTGGAGACAGACAAGCTCACAGCTGGAGTGTCTGAAGTGGAGTACTACAGAGAAGTTGCAGGAGATCCTGGATGGCGTGGCCCAGCACTTTTACTACGACTTGATCAAGATGAAGGTGTTGCTGTGATCCAGTACCAGGGCAAGCCCTACTTGGTTTCTTTGAGACACATCAGGCCCTACGTTGGCATGTTCCACTTTGAGATGGTCAACGAACCTGTGGAGAACGAGCTCAACAACCTGATGAAGTACGTGGAACACCTCTGCGAGTACAAGGCCTATGTCATTGGATGGATCCAGAAGAAGAGTGGCACTTGGACCAAGACTCCAAAGGAGACACCAGCTATCACCAAGGCGATGGAATGGGCAGACAAGATCTCCAAAGCCATGACCAAGAAGCCATTGCATGGCATCATCATGGGACGAGCTCTCAAAACCTTCAAACCTCCCAACAACACGACTGGCAAGTTGGTGACATGGATTCAAGGTGGCAAGAACTACTCCGTGCAGGAGCACTTGAATGCGAACCACCTGAGAATGAAGAAAATCTCCAACTATACCAGGGAGGACCTCTGCATCATCTACTTCTACTACTACAACCTGGACATCAAGGAGGAGATCACCTACGACCCAAAGTCCAAGGAGAAGCCTGCGAATGACCAAAAGCCAAACGGCGATGGTTCAGAGGAGATGGACACAGAGAACGTTCCAAAGAAACGAGATGAGCCAGAAGATCCAGGACAAGAATCTGAGAAGAAGAAGCAGAAGGTCGCGATGGTGAAGAAGGACATCAAGAAGGTGGCGATTCTGCAGAAGGACATCGAGTTCCTACGGAGCTTCTACACCATCAACGCCAACACCAAGATCATCCTGGACTTCCCATTGGAATGGAAGATTGGCTACAGCATCATGCTGCCCACGGTCAAGAATTTCCTGACCCAAGAGTATCAACATCGTCAACGACAATGTGGACATCTCTTCACCTTGGCCTACAAGACATCCGGCGATGCAACAGCATGCCTGAGAACCGCTCAGATCTTCAAGGTCGACGAGGAGACCAACAACATCAATGAAGGTGACATCACACCCGATCTATGGCATTTGGTGGATTCAGCCGATCGAGCTGAAGTCAAGCAGTTTGTGGAGGAGAAAGCATTCAAGAAGATGCACAGGAGCAAGTTCACGGCCGAGATGGTCATCATAGATGCCAGATGGGTTCGGAAGTGGAAAAGATACCCAAATGGCGAGTTGAAGGTGAAATCAAGACTCTGTGCAAGAGGATGCTTCGACTCTCAGAAAGACCTCTTGACGACGAGATCTACCACTGCCACAAGATTGAGCCAACGACTTCTTTTGAGTCATGCTGCACGAAAGCGCAGCCGAAGACTCGAGTCCATTGACATTGCTGGCGCCTTCCTGAAAGGCTTTTCTTTCTCCGAGATTCAACGAGCTCTACGTGAAGCTGGAGTTGATGCACCAAGCCGAGTGGTGGTACTTCTACCTCCCTTGAACGTCTTTCGTCACCTGAGTGACCTGAGCCCTGACTTCAAGGGGATGACAGACCTCCAGGCTATGGAGTACGGCTTACTCTGCGTCAAGCCGGTCTATGGGTTGAATGACGCCCCATTGGCATGGCAATTGTGCCTGCACCAGTTTGTCAAGCAACATGGTGGAAATCCATCACATCTGGACGACTGCACTTTCTCTTGGAAAGGTCAACGACCAGAAGAACCAGAAGCTGAATCAATTGCCACGACACATGTGGATGACATCGCTCTTTCTGGCGAGCAACCATGGCTGGACCATATGCACCAGCTGTTCCTCAAGCGTTTTGGCAAGGTGACCAGACAGACCCTACCATTTGTTCACTGTGGCTGCAAGTATGAGAAAACGCCTACAGGCTACAAGGTCAGCCAACAAGAGTTTGCCAGCAAACTCCGACCTGTTCCAGTACCAGAACGAGAAGACACTTCAAAGCTGACCAAAGAAGAAGTATCAACCTTTCGCTCAATCCTTGGAGCACTTTTGTGGTTGACTGCCACACGCCTTGACATCATCGCAGATGTATCAGTTCTTCAAGCGAAGGTGACAGTGGCTGAGATTCAACACCTCAAGCAAGCCAATGACATCCTGATCAAAGTGGCGGAGTACATCGAGGTTGGACTTCACTACAGGATGATGGAAGCCAAGCACATCAGACTGGTGTGTATTCACGATGCTTCCTCTGCTGCTCAAGGACGAAGCTATGCTCAAGAAGGTTTGCTGATTGGTATCATGGAAGACAAGTTCCACGACGTCACTTTGGAAGCTGAGACTGAATTCCAAGATGGAGAAGGCGAACATGGAGTGGAGAACCATGGTGGAATTTTCCACATTCTTCATGCCAGTGGTTCCAAGGCGAAAAGAATTTCCTACAGCACTTCACATGCTGAAACCTTGTCTATGGTTGGTGGAATGGAAGCCTCAACTATGATCATGGTTAGACTGGCCGAACTACACCATCCTGCCAAAGCTCCCACGATCAAGCAGCTTGTGCAGATTCAAGAAGCTGGCGATCCCAAGATCCCAATGGACTTTTATGGAGACTGCCGAGATCTATTTGAACTCATCACTGGACGACGAACGCTGCCTCAAGACAAATCGCAGCGCTTGTATGTTTTGAGTCTGAAAGAATCAAGAGTTTCTGGAAAACTGCGGATGGCAACTTTGGTGCCTACAGAAGCTATGACGGCTGACTCATTGACCAAGCCGATGGTTCATGATTGCATGCTACTTTTGTTGACAACTGGAATCGTCAGGTTTTTCAACGTGCCTGATCACAAGGTGGTGACGAGAATTCTTCCAGCACTGGAAGAATACACAGAGCACGACCTTCACAAGTCCGATGACGAACTGATGGACGACGTTGTCAAAGGCATCAAACAACCGAAGATCAGTCATGGAGCTGTTTTGCTGAGTTTGTTTTCACGAAGCATGTTACCAATGCTGGTAGCAACGTGTGCGAGTGGTGCAACGGCTCAAGAGTTTGACGAGACCTATGTCCCTGACTCCAATGCAGTTGCGAAGAACAACAGCATCCCGAACTATGCCAACTACTTCGGGGTCTACATCTCCATCTTCCTCACCGTGATCCTCGCCGTGAACATGGACAAGATTCTGAAGTATGTGACCTACAAGGTGACGAAGAAGCTCTACAGGCCTTTGCCGGCCGTGAAGGAGGAAGACACGACAGAAGCGATGGATGTGGACGAAGAAGGCGATCCCGACATGATGGCGAATCGCATTGCTGCACTCAAGCGGAAGGTCATGGATGTGAACGCAGCAAATCGTGCTGCCAAGAAGAAGATCCAAGATCAACAAGGAGAACTGGATGAGCTCAGAGATGACCTACGCGAAGCCAAGACGGAGATCACATCATGGATAGACTGCGCCGACAACTACAGCGCCAAGACCAACATGTGCCTGGCGGATTCGGCGAGCTACAAGAGAGATCTCCAAGAACTCAAGACCGAGCACGAGGAGCTGAAAGACAGGTACGACCAGGCTCAGAACGACATCAACACCCTGGAAGAGCAGGTGAGACGTCAACGTGAAAGAGGAGATCAACTTTGTGACAAGGTGGATGATATACAAGGTGCGCTGCAGCACTCCAAGAATGCCAACGCGATGGCTGCACGAGCCAATGCCAGCAAGGACGCGAAGATTGCCGAGCTGACAGCTGCGCTGCAAACTGCGAAGCAACAGGCTCAGACAGTCAGACCAAGCCGTGCTGCCGACCAGAACGAGGTGGCCGAGCTCACGCAGAAGATCACCGACCTGACCAAGAAGAACGAGGACTTGGACAGGGAGAAGAACGTCCTGAAGGCGACCTGCGAGCAGCGCGCTCGTGAGATCCTCGGCCTAAGAGAGGCCAATAGGGAGGCAAAAGCCCCTCCGACTGTGCATATCACGCGAGGTGGGTCATGCTACCATAGCGACGGCTGCAACCACCTGAGCCATGCCGGTCAGCCAAGAGCTGTAGTGGAGTTGCGCAAATGCCGTGACTGCTGGCCGTGAGCACAGAGCAGGAGGGCACCGGTGTGAAGTTTTGCATGGCCCCTGCACAGGATGACACGCACATAGGATCAGAAGTGTAACCAACTGACATGTCCCGCAGAGCGCTCTTGAGTGGATCAAAATCGAGTAATATACTAATATACTAACGTACTTTTTTTTATTTATATAATGGTGATTATCATAATCCGTGGGGAATTCCTTTCTCAACGAAGCACTGTGCAATGTCGAGGCCCCAGCAACTGCGGAGAGTCGGCTCCAGAACTTGGGCTGCTGTTCTCCTCCTTGGACCAGTCGGGGGGCCCTGCCAACAGCTGGTTGGAAGATGTTGGGAACATGTGTATATATATATATATGCTATCCTGTAATTCTCCAGTTGAAAATTTGTGGTTAATTAGATTGGTTAGTAAGTTTTAATGACTTTAAATAATGGTGAGTGTTGGGAACCATTTCGAACCCAAGAAAAAAGGCTGATATTTCCTGGCTGATGTTGATTTTGGCACAGCAGAATGTGCTGGAAATGGCTGGATAGCTGCTGACTTCGTACATCTGACATCATTTGTGATGTGTTTTTGATCAATGTGAATATGATGGTGTTGTTTGACAAATGTTTCACATCCCATTATATACCCAATGTGTATATATATATACACATGCCCATTATACATACATATATATACATATTTATCTATATATACCCATTATTATGTATATATGCATACATATATGCCCATTATATTCCCATTAAGTTCCCATTAATGTCTGACATTATTTGATGTTTGTCATTCCCCCCGCACATCGATGCCATCCTCCGGCCGCAGGTGAGTCCCAACGACTTCCAATCCTGAAGCCCCTCACCGCGCGGGCTTGATCCAGGGCTTGAAATATGTTGAGATTCTTGGGATATCCAATAAGATGGTTCAAACATGTTCAAAACATGTTCAAAACAAAGCTTATTAATTGTTGATTGCATTTGTTAGGTCACAGCAACCTTTTGTTCTTGATGGCAGTTTGCACAGAACAGATTGAAGTGGACATGACATCGAATGCTAGATAATGCTACATAGCTCGTTGGGTTTCCATGCCCAACACTTGCCCGTGCACATCGGCAGAAACTGCTGCTGGCACGAACGAGGATGGCAAACACGTCCTACAATCTCACCATCAGAGTTCCATCAAACGTTGATGCTCCGTACTCGTTTGAGGTCGCTTAAACATGTTTACGATCGTTTGACTGTGTGTGTGTTTTTGTTATTTAAGCATCACGGTTTATTTGTTTTGATTCCGAAACGTGAAGGCATTTCATGCAAAGACACTGAACTGGGGCATGGGCTCTGTAGGTGAAGGTTTCACTTGGCCGCTGAGACTTGCCGTTGGCATAGAGATGGCATAGGGATCTTCTAGACTTGGCTACATGGCGGTTGAATCGCGGCCGACAAAAAGGAGCTAAGTAGCGCAAGAGACCTGGAGTTTCCACTTCTTGAAATATCTTGAAAGGTGTCTAGAAACTGGCGAACAACAACTGGCAAACCGTGTGAATGTGACCAGGTGCCAAGCAGAAGGAAGTGTGGCTGGAGATGGATTGCAATTGCATGGGTCAGACTGAGCTGTGTGAAGGACGCACGTGTTGCGAATCCTGACTGTGCAACTAGGTGGTCAGCGGCATGTCACGATTGGAGTTGTTCCAGCAAGTATTGCTAACGGCTAACGTCAAATTCTTGGACTTGGCCCAAGCAGCTTTCAGCGGTAACGCCGGAACAGATGTTCCAACGAAGAACACCAACACCCACTGGAAAACAGTTCACGTTCACAACATGATCATGCAGAATCCCTTTCGTATGAGCAAAAATCTTCTGGCTTAAATGTTTTTAGGATGGCACAGTATTGAGAAATTTTGAAATAAAAAGGAGGCAGGGTCTCAAGTACGAGCAGGCACCAGTGAATAATAACTTGGATTCTGCAAACATGCAGAAATGCCTGGGTTCACAATCTATGAACGGAGCATAATTTCATAAATCCCAATACTCCACCATACCACATGATCATCGCGGTCGGCCCAGCCCAGCGAGCTCGATATGTTCAATCCTGGTTGGTGACGGTAAACACTTCCACCAGAAAAAGGCAAGCACAAAATGCAACCAGAAGTATTCAAGTGCCGGAAAGGGAAAAGCTGATGGTATGCTAATGGTTGTAGTCAAGTCCTTGGAGTGTTTGTATGCTGAATATCCCGCAGAAGGGGTTTTCCCCAACCAAGTGTAGAGCCCATGCGGAAGAAAGTTGATGCCCGAGTTCGAACACTGGTGTTTGCCTGAGTTTTCGATGCAAAAATTCAGCTTGTTCGATGACCCAGGTGGAAGGAATTTTGCGACCGGTTTGCCATTTACCTGGCAACTCCACTATTTGCACTGCAATTTTTTCGATTTTTGGAAGTACTTGAAGGAAGCTCAGACGCCTCCATCAATGGTAATGTCGAAAAGTGGTACCTGCTGCACACCGATCCCAGCATTGCTTCAAGATCCATGGACAAAAAAAACTTCGCTCCGTGTTTGCAGGTCGAGAATGGCATCAAGTCCCACACAAGGTGCATGTTTGTCATTGCAACTCGGCTATGAATGCTTTGGAAGATGGGTTTGGACATGCTCGGACCCGAAATGCGGGATTTACTGCAATTTAGACATCCTTTTGATGGGGGAAACGATGATGAACAAAGAGATTTTAGGGCTATCCAATTTTAAGACACACCCAGATGCAACTTTCCCACTTGTGTCGACCATTCCCTTGATGCGTTGACCGCTGGATTACTACGCCGCCAGCGAGATGTCAGGTCGGCGACCATGGAAGGGACCAGGCCAAAGTTGGTATGTTGAAATTTTGCTGACCATCAACACGATCTTAACAAATTCTTAGCACTGTCTTGGGACTGGTTGCGGTGGCTGCAGGTGGTTAACCTCCACTTTATGGTGAACAAGATCACCAATTCGAAGCCCTCTGTCTTGTGGTTCCTTGTCCGCACGGTAAAGTGGCATGTCTCAGCGCCAGAACATAGTAGCTGTAGACCACCATACACGTCAGGGTAATCTTGAGGTGCTAGAAGCACCAAGAACCCTCTAATTCCGATGAATGTTCATCTTGCGCTGTTTGCATGTAGGTGCGCTTGGTATAAATATTTCCAGACATTCCTAGCTGTAGGGCACTGTAGGGCATGTTTAATTCAGCCATTCCATCGGCAAAGCCGTCGCCATTCCCATCTGGCCGTTGGTGGTTTGAGATGTTTGAGGTGCTACAAGAAAGAACTGGGCTTCAGTACCCATAAAAAGAAGCGGATGAAGCAGGTGAAAAAGATGCAGAAGAGCGGACAACTAGATCCAAATGTGGATGATCCGTGTGGTGCCTCAAAAACCTGGGCCGGAGGGCCGGAGTCGGCTTCGGAGAAAGGGGACCAAAGCAGGTTGGACATGCAAGGCTCTGTACATAATGTTTAATGTGTTTTGATGCTGAAGATTGCATTAATTCCCTGTTTGCTGTGATCCCTCTTTGCTGTATCAATGGAGAGGTATTTAGAGATCTAGCTTCGCAGGTGGGCTTCAAATCCCATGTGTTTCCAGTGCCCTCGTGACCAAACCAGGTTTGAGCTCTTCATTTCCAGCACAAATATCCGATACTGACCGCCTGTCTTGTTTGTTCACGAAAAAATAAGCTGAGGCAGCTACCTTGGTTTGTTGATGCTGTCGAGTCACGCAAACCTGGATGGCTTGCGCATGACCATTGAACGACGATCAGTGAAATAAGACTTGAAATCAAGAGATTTTGGTGGATTCCTCCCCAACTTTTTCGAACCAGTGTCACCTGGCCAGGCTACTACAAAGACACTGAGCAGGTTCTCGGCAAAACCTTTGGCATGTGCGCCCTGGGAAAGCCATCTCATCCTGTAAAGTATCACCATGGTCCAATGTTGTTCCAAAACAAATTGCCCCGCAATCTTCCAATATTGTCCCAATTCAATCCTCCATCCTCCCTCCTCCATCCCTCCTCCTCCTCCTCCTCCTCATCCTCATCATCATCATCATCATCATCATCATCATCATCATCATAATCCATATGATTCATCAATAATCATGCATTAATCATCTGACACGAATCACCATACATCAGTCATCATCCGTCATCATCAGCCATCATCAGTCATCATCAGTCATCATCAAAATCATCATAATCATCATAATCAATATCATCATCATCATCATCATCATCATCATCATCATCATCATCATCATCATCATCATCATAATCATCATCATGGCCATCACAATCGTCATAACCATCATAATCATCATAATCATCCACCATCCATCATCCTTCATCCATCTTCATCCTTCATCCATCATCCATCATTATCATCATCATAAGCATCCATCATCCACCATCAATCATCCACCATCCATCATCCACCATCCTTGATCCATTATCATCATCATCATCATCATTATCATCACCATCACCATCACCATCACCATCCAATTCAATCAACTACCATTTTCTTGCGGTACTTTACTTGTAGCATCATTTTCATTCAAATGCAACGACAGAACATGGCTTCAGCCATCCACGCAGGTGCATCCTGCAGGACTTTGAAGCGTTGACGCCAAATTTGTTGTGCCGAGTCGTTGAGACGGTACTGCCCTCAGAGATGGAGCTGGTTGCAGCCGGCTGGGATACAAAGAGTGAGTTGAATTTGTTTATGTTGTTTAATTATGTGTATATATATATATTACTATATTATCTTATATTATATTATATTATACTATACTACACTATATTATATTATATTATGTTATATTATATTGTATTATATTATGTTATGTTATATTATATTGTATTATATTATATGTTATTATATTAAATTATATGATATTATATTATATGATATTATATTATATGATATGATATTATATTCTATTCTATTCTATTCTATTATATGATATTATATTATATGATTTGATATGATATTATATATTCTATTCTATTCTATTCTATTATATTATATTATATGTTATTATATTATATTATATCTTATTATATGTTATTATATTATATTATATTATATCTTATTATATGTTATTATATTATATTATATTATATTATATGTTATTTTATTATATTATATTATACTATATTCTATTATGTTATGTTATATTATATTATATATAAGTATCATATATATATATTAATACGTATAATAGTGATACTATTAGTAGTACTAATAATAGTAGTGATACTAATAATAAGAATAAGTTTCATGATGATGATAATTATAGACATAGAGATAATAATAATGATGATAATAACGATAACAAGAATACTGTTCAAAATAATAGTGATATCTGAGAGACATAATAATCATAATGGTTATATGTTGTTACAAACAATAATGCCATTTGAAACTAGTACGGTATTAAAAAAAAAATATGGTACGCATGACCAACTTGATATAGATATTTGAGCGTATCTCGCAATAGGGGATTTAACCCCCAGACGGCAATTTTCATAGGAAACATGATTTTTGGGGTTACTCAATTTCCAGAGAACCCCGGGAACCCGGAAGAAAACGTGCACGATACCGAAATGATGCTTATCTCGCTTTCACCATAACCTTATTGGAAAAGTTTGCGGATGACAGTTCAGGGATGATTGGTATGATCACACGTGTGTTGAAAGTCTGGAAGGCATGGTAATGGCATGGTTGTTGGACGCCACTGGGTGGTTTTCCTGCCCTCGTCAAGGTCCAGGGTGGCGGCATGGTCGGATCCTGAAATCCAGGGAGATTTTCCCACCCTCTCTGGTAATGAAACCAAGCTGGGAAATCCCCTAGGTCTTTCGCCATGATCAAGGTTGATATCACTAAATGATCCTTGCCCGCAGGTTCTCCCAGGAATTCATTGTTTCCTCCGTGTTTTTGGACTTGTCTTCTGATTGCAACTTGCAGTGCTGAGGTCATTCTTTTGCATAGCTGGCAAACTTGTGATTGACTATCTCGGACTGACCTGTACCCTGTTCTCACGCTAGATATGTTAGTATCAGCAACATTCACTTGACTTGAGAATGCCTGGCGCTCGATTGGCAAACCGCTGTCGTGCTCATGGTTAGAGTTATTGGAACTAGTGGTTGAAGGGTATCAGATCACACTTATTTTTGAGCCTTGAAAAAGGACGCGTGCTGTCAGCTTGTGGTTTGACCATGTGCCTTTGTGTCCAGCACGCATATTTAGTGTTTACACATGCAAAAAGGACAGCCGCTGCTAAATTCTGAGCAAAGCAAACAACCCCAACCCACTTGCAACTGTGACTGAGCCATTCGCTGTGATGCATAGGAAAAGTTGTGAGAGGATAGATTTAATTAGTTTGCTGCGTTCCTTTCTCTTTGTGTTTAGTGTGCATGTTTGTTTGGCCAAATGTTGAGCATTTGGTGTGTGGCGAGGATGATTGCAAGAGTTGTTCGGACTAGAGTTTCCGAGGGTAGCCAATGACGCGATACCACTTACACTCGTGACTGAGCCTTTCACTGTTCAATCTGTTGAAGTTGTGAGTGGGTGATACTTGTTGTAGTTCTTTCATGTTCTTTCTTTGTGTTTAGTGTGCATGTTTGTTTGGCCAAATGTTGAGCATTTGGTGTGTGGCGAGGATGATTGCAAGAGTTGTTCGGACTAGAGTTTCCGAGGGTAGCCAATGACGCGATACCACTTACACTCGTGACTGAGCCTTTCACTGTTGAATCTGTTGAAGTTGTGAATTGGTGATACTTGTTGTAGTTCTTTCATGTTCTTTTTTTGTGTTTAGTGTGCATGTTTGTTTGGCCAAATGTTGAGCATTTGGTGTGTGGCGAGGATGATTGCAAGAGTTGTTCGGACTAGAGTTTCCGAGGGTAGCCAATGACGCGATACCACTTACACTCGTGACTGAGCCTTTCACTGTTCAATCTGTTGAAGTTGTGAATTGGTGATACTTGTTGTAGTTCTTTCATGTTCTTTCCTTGTGTTTAGTGTGCATGTTTGTTTGGCCAAATGTTGAGCATTTGGTGTGTGGCGAGGATGATTGCAAGAGTTGTTCGGACTAGAGTTTCCGAGGGTAGCCAATGACGCGATACCACTTACACTCGTGACTGAGCCTTTCACTGTTGAATCTGCTGAAGTTGTGAGTGGGTGATACTGGTTGTAGTTCTTTCATGTTCTTTCCTTGTGTTTCGTGTGCATGTTTGTTTGGCCAAATGTTGAGCATTTGGTGTGTGGCGAGGATGATTGCAAGAGTTGTTCGGACTAGAGTTTCCGAGGGTAGCCAATGACGCGATACCACTTACACTCGTGACTGAGCCTTTCACTGTTCAATCTGTTAAAGTTGTGAATTGGTGATACTTGTTGTAGTTCTTTCATGTTCTTTCCTTGTGTTTAGTGTGCATGTTTATTTGGCCAAATGTTGAGCATTTGGTGTGTGGCGAGGATGATTGCAAGAGTTGTTCGGACTAGAGTTTCCGAGGGTAGCCAATGACGCGATACCACTTACACTCGTGACTGAGCCTTTCACTGTTGAATCTGTTGAAGTTGTGAATTGGTGATACTTGTTGTAGTTCTTTCATGTTCTTTCTTTGTGTTTAGTGTGCATGTTTGTTTGGCCAAATGTTGAGCATTTGGTGTGTGGCGAGGATGATTGCAAGAGTTGTTCGGACTAGAGTTTCTGAGGGTAGCCAATGACGCGATACCACTTACACTCGTGACTGAGCCTTTCACTGTTCAATCTGTTGAAGTTGTGATTTGGTGATACTGGTTGTAGTTCTTTCATGTTCTTTTTTTTGTGTTTAGTGTGCATGTTTGTTTGGCCCGATGTTGAGCATTTGGTGTGTGGCGAGGATGATTGCAAGAGTTTTCCAGCCAGTGATGTGATGTTGATTTATCTTTTTTTTTGCGTTCTTGTGTGTTTGTGCTTTCACGTCCTTGATCATATTGGCGTGTTCGCCTGTGAATGTTGAGAAGAGACAAGGACTAAAATGTTGCTTGGGACCTATATAGATCCTGTAGAATCCTGTAGATTGCCTTTGCCTGCTGATGACTTTGTCTTCTCCATTGCTTTAGCCATTGAGGTGTTTTTGTGACGTGTGTTTTCTGTTTTTTAAGTTTTGCTACTCTGATTGCCAAATAGTTGTCACTTGGATTGATACTGCGGTTAGTGTTGCCATGTGTTGCCATGCCATTTGCCAGGCTGAAAACCATGGAATCCCTGAAGCAACTGTACAGCCTAGCCATGGATGCGTACTTGGGCTGCAGTGTAATTCACGGGGTGACTGAGCCCTGGGCTGCTTTGAAAATCTACAGGATTCCCCTACGATCCCCTACGTATAATTACTACTTGTAGTAGGAACATATTTAAAAAAAAAAAGATAAACCATTAAAAACCATTGTTTCCTGTAGATTTTCCCTCAAACCAATCTAGCGGTAATGCGTCAGGCCGCTCTTCGTGCCTCCAGGCATCACAATTTGCGCACTGAGACGCACACGGACACAGAGCCCCGCTTCAACGAACGCTCGAAACCGAGCTGCAGGTTTGGTCGTAGATCAGGAGTGTATTATGGTTGATATGGTTGTTGTCCAGCACAGAAATCGATATATATATATATACATACATACAACATATATATGTATGTATGTATGTATGTATGTATATATATATACATACAACATATTATGTATATATATACATATATATATATATACATATATACATATATATACATATATATACATATATATATATATATATACATATATGTATATATACATATATACATACATACATATATATATATATGTGTGTGTGTTTGTGTTCCACAAGAAATGCACGAAAAGCACATCAGGTCATTCATGGTCATTAAACTTGCATAAACTTGGCACGTGTCAATCACGTTTGATATTTTAAGTTTAATTCTTCTGTCTTTTGAGCAGTGCAGCGCCGCAGACCAAGGCTTGGTTCTCTCCTTGAAGGACTGCCCGGCGTGCCTGGTGCTTGACGATGAGCTGAACATCCTTCCGCTGTCGAAACATGCCCAGGTTGAAAGCTTAGAGAGGTCAAACAGGCGGCATATCGTGGAAGTTTGCTGAAAATGTGATGAAAATCAGTTCTGAATAGTTTTGATCCAAAGCCAAGCACCTCAGATGGGAGCATGACGACCCCTGCAGTGGAGACAATTTTGATAGTACAGTACCGGGTAAATCAGAACAATTTCGATCACATTTTGTGATGGCTCGAATTACATCTCCTCAGGCAGTCCGGCCTATGGAGGTTCGCATCCGCAGCTGTCTATTTGATGCTGACAAACAGAAATTGCAATTCAACAGGAACAGAGCACTTTTCAGAATCATCCCAAGAAGTGTCATATGTGAATATGTGATAGTGAGAATAATATATGATAATATTATATAATTATATAATAACTGTATATTTTTGTATATGTTTGTTGCGTAAATCGTAAATCACCTGTTTCTTGATGGTGAATCTCTTGATTTTCATATGTTGTTTGCTTTTCGATGGTGAGATTCGTGTTTTCTGGTGGTGAAATCACTCATTTGTGCATAAATCACCATTCAAATAATCATTCTTGAGTCAACTAACAATGGTTAAGTATGTTAATCACCATGTTTGATCACGTTTGGCAAAACATATCTGTAAGGCGACTTGGTCCTCCAGTCTTCATCACCAGGTTGATGAAGACGTCGATGCTGGGGAGCGGCCAAAGACGGCAAATGAGAGGCATCAGCTGTAGCTGAGAAAATCAACCCCCGCAATGGCCCATGGCACAATGGGAAAAACCATGGGACAACCATGGGACAACCATGGGACCAAATCCAGTATTTTAAACCATGGGGTTTTGGACTAATGTTGCAATACGAATGGAAAACCAGTTGTGTGTGTCATTCGGTTGGTCTTTTCAACGGACATCCAACTAGAACAGCAACCAGGTTTAACCAAGACGTTGGGAAAAGCGAACTATGAATAGATCCGGGAAAACGCCCTTGAATGGAGGGTTAGTAGAGTTGGTACTGTAAGCGCTGGAAAGCGCATCGATTAGATGCAAGCATCTTATTATGCTTGGGGAAGGTAATTGAGGAAACTTTCTCCCATCGTTGATGTACGGAGTTCCACTGGGGAAAGCTTCCCGGGTAAAAGTTGATGTGCATTCCGGCAACGTCAGTAGCCTCCAAAATCATCTGGATTTGAGCTGAAGCCCTGATTTTGAAGGGTACAGCGGTACAGTTCTTTTTGCTGTGAAGACGTTTTTTTGACCTGAAACAAAGCAGCCGAAGTCTCTCCAGACGTTGAAACAGATTGGATATTTCAGTGCTGTGAGGGAACTGGACGAGCTGAAGGAAACAACCGCCTGGAGCCTGTGCAGAGGAAGTTGGATCAGTCGATCAGTTGGATCAGACCCTGGCTGTTTTCAGCCGAGGCCGACACTCAGCCCATCGGTCCAATTGTCAATGTGTCCAAGACCTTGGACCAGGCCTGTGCAGCAATCCTGACTTCTCTGATCTATTTATTTGATTTTATTTATAAAATGATCTTTTTCCTTCCAGCCATTTGGGCGATCTTTCAGAAAAGGTCTTGAGGCTGTTTTTAGGGAGGAGAATTTGGTGCACTTCTCTCAGCTTGCAGAACTTGTCATAACGTGACAGAGCTGATCTCTAAGCGTCTTGGGATGCACCTCAATGAGGCTAAAGCCGTCATGACCTTCGTCGATGCGATATCGGAGAAGACCCTGAACCGGACGATGCTTGGTTCGCCAAAGTTACAGTTATGTTTTTAGTGACCTACGGATCAAATGAATCAGAGGTTCCCATAGGTTCCCTTTGCAGACAACAGGAGTTGATACTATTCGTACATAAACCAGCGGTGAGTCCAATGATGTTGGGCCAAAGAGAAGTGACAAGTATTCCTTTTATCTCAACCTGGCATCCGTCTTGTCCAGTCATCAACCAATCAAGTTCAGGTTGTAAGGAGTGCAAAACTCACAATTGCAAAAGTCCGGATGAGATGTGAAAAGTATTTAAAACTAAGAAAATCCAGCAACTATGCAAAATGGTAAGCAGAAATGAGCACGTTCATCTCTGATTTGTTTTTTCAGTGCGTTTGGGCAGCTGAGGATGGCTTTGACTGCCGCTCGTGGTCGTGGCAAGTCTGTGCCCCAGCACTTATGTCAGTGGCCGAGGCTGGTCCAGGCAAAACAACGAAAAATAAAACTTGAGCTTACATGATTGGTTACCTAGTTTGGCCGACATTATTGGATGTTGAACCAAGAGTCCTTCATATTCTACATTCTTCCTAGTATCATCTGGATATATCATGATATATCTGGATCCTCTATTCATTTCTAGTCTATACCCAGAGTATTCCATTGCCCAACTGAGGTCAGCTGCTTTGGGCTTGGCAGTCTCTGCCGCAGTGGCCTACGGCTATTCCAATATCTTCGTGACAGTCAGTGAGCCGAGTCGTGAGAGCTGCGATAGGAATAGCACTTGAAATCGCAATAGTACTCTATGTAATTCATATATATATATGATGTATATATATATATGATACTGAAACAAAATATCTATGTGGATGTATTGAATCTCTCTATAGTATATTGTATCTATATATATATACATAATTATATATATTATAAAATTATATATTAAATCATCTAATTATGTATACTCTAGGCGGAAAATGGCAGGTTTGTTGTTTTTTTCGGTGATTCGACTGTGTTAGGCACCATCTCCTGAAAACCTCAGCACGGTCTTTGAGTTCATCCTCAAAGGCTTCGATGCATTGGGGATGAAGGACGTCTGACACGGGGGCTTCAAAAACTACTTGGACTTGGTATATTTGGGATTATGAACTGACCCGTAGGGATAGATATTAACCAACCAGTATAATGAGATGGGATAGGGCTATTTTTCATGGCTCAAGTTACTGTCTTGCTCGGAGTTGCTATGATTTACTATACAGTAGTGACAGTAAGTAGTCGATATCACGCTGGCAGAATGTTTGAAGTAGTTTAAAGTCCTTAGACATTGAAATACTGGCGAGATGGGAAGACAGATCTCTGAAGGCCTCCGGTGCTTGTGGGACCTGGGATAGGCTCACGCTGCAGGAGCATCAGGAGTATGAGCTGGTGCAAGCAGAGAATCCCGACCTCAACAAGGTGCTGCAGTTTCACATGTGGAAGAAGACATGCTGTCAGACTGAATTCCCGTGCCTGTGAATGCACTGTTGACATTCTGTTGGTCTCCGCATGATAGATGTAAATGTAGATGTAGATGTAGGTAGGTGGGTAGGTAGGTAGTCAGCTATCCAGGAAGAATTCCCACAGTACCAGTAGCACCCATGATGCCTGCAGCCGAAGGCCCTTGTCCGCGTGAACATCTTCAAGGACATGTGTTTGGCATTATCATTTCTGTTTGAAGATGCTTGAACTGAAGCTATCTCCTCACACCTGGGTGTGTTTGACAATGGTGTATACCCTCCAATGGCCAAATGATGATAACCCATGGGATTTTGGGGGTGCCTTTCAAGGCAATCCCACATAGATATTATAAAATGAATGAACTGCTACAGACTGCTAGATGGCCACTCTGTTCATTCCACAAGATCTGGGAAGCAGCTGCAGAGCTTGAAAGAATGGATCCAAAGAGATGCATTGCCTTGAGGCAGCCCTGTGTGGCTGGTCAATGTCTTTTTGGCAGTTTAATCCCAGTATGCCGTATCCCTTTGAAAACATGATTTTCCCGTTTCTTATCATGTACTTCCCGTAGTGTTCTCCACTTCTGGTATATTCAAATCCTCATGTTTGGTGTTTGAATCATGGTTTTGGTCACTTAAATCATGTTGAATCGTTGTATATCCATCATTTGGCAGTTGAAATTGTGGACATTGCATGACATTGCCATCCTTCATTTGACATGGAATTGAATTCTTGAATTCATCTGGTATATCGTTGGTTTTTTGGCAGTTGAAACCTCCATTTTTCGCTCAGCCTTGAGATTCGAGAGGACCACCGGCAGACGGTTCAGTACATTAATCCATCGGACTGGCAGCATCTGGCACAGGCCCATTTAGTTTGACGATTTACCCATTTAGAATGGCGATTTTCCATATGGTATTGGTCATTTTGCTGTACAGGTAAACCAATGAGATCAATGAGTATGTTTGAGGTCTGCATACTTCTGCCAATTTTTCAGAAGCGTCCATATGTGAATAGATGTCAATGTAGATAAACCCATATTGTACATACACATACATTGTGTCAGAACTTAACTTGACATTTATTCGCAGTCACATCAATGTCGCATCACATCAAGTTCATAGTAGTGTGGTAAACCATGGTAAACCCAACGAACCATCCCCAAAATCACTATAAATGGTAATATCATCCCCAATGCCCAAATGGTAGGTTTACTGTCCAAGGCCGAGCTGCTGATCGTCGATGAAGCTGCAGCAATTCCCTTGCCCATCGTCAAGAAACTCTTGGGGTGAAGCCAGCCAGTTTTGCGTAGTTTTACTGCAGAAAATTGTAGAAAGCTCGCCAGTTCATTGGCACTTAGCTCATCATTGTGGTTTGGAAATTCATTAATGACACTTCATAGCAGGCTTCACTGACTCCCGTGCTGCTACATGCCATTGTTTTTTCGTTTATTTGTGTCACATTTCGTTCTGCCAGATGTACTTGGCAATGCGTTGTTGTGATATTTTCCTGTTCCTTTGGGATTACAGGATGTGTACCGCTTCTCGGTTTGCTCAACAGCTTTGCCAGGCCATACTTGGTGCTCTTAGCATCGACGGTGAATGGCTACGAAGGACACCTGCATAGAAGGGGGTGGAGAGTGGATTCCAAGACCAAAAGGATGAGATCATGATTTGAAACAACTACTGTACAGGGATGTTGAGTCACGATACAGGCCAGACCTTTGCAACCCCCACAGTTGTTCACAGTGATCATGTTTTTTTTGGAATAAATTCCAAGCTGCAGCTGAATATGAGACCAGAATCGAAAAGGGGTCAGCCATTGAGAACCTAATGAAACACCAACGGAACAGACAAATGATGAATGAAAGCCACTTCTGTGAAAGTCTCAATTTCAAACAACTTCAAAGGCAAAAAGTTCGAAATAGGTGCCATCGAAGCAAACCTTGATGGCTATCCGGCTATCCAGCCTTCCTTGCGGAGGAACGGGCAGAGCTTTGTCACTGAAGCTCATAGAGGCATCAGCTGTCATGGTCCAGCTTCTTTTTTGCGGTGGTGCAGCAATGGAAGAGCTTCAGATATTCATAAGATATGTAATATGTATATATAATATTATATAATATGTCATAATTACATATGATATATTCAAATAAAGGTTATGAACTTATGTTGACGCCAATTGTAAGTTGTAAGTTCCAAGAATTTTTGATGCCTTCAGCTTCAGTGCCTTTTAGTTCCTTGGCGCAGCCTGCGGTTTTGAGGACCTCAAGAAGAACAAAGGCAGCGGCAAGATTGGATCTCTGGGCGACCGCAGCATGAGGGAACTATCTCTCGAGGACTGGGTGACATTTCAAGAAATGTGTTTCTGTATCGATGAACAGATGAAAGACATTGAAAGACAATGTATAGGTGGATTGATATGTTATGAATCCAACTGATTTGATATGATTTGGTGCTCAGTTGTGACCAGCTTGTTGTTTTTTGTTGTCTTGCAGGAGCCAATTCGTTATGCTCCAGGTGATCCCATTGAGGCATTTTGAAAAGGGTGACGTGTTGTCGATTCTGCTTGGAAGAGACGGAACGCCAAAGGATGCCAAAGGATCCAAAGGAGTTTATACATTGTGCTAAGATGTGCTAAGGAATCTAAGGATTTCAGTCGACTGAAATTCAGTTTGTTCTTCTCAATTCTTCAATCCACGACATGTCCAACAGATTCAGTGGCCACTGGGCCAACCGGGCCAACTGTTTCGACGTATTCAGGCTTGGTTATGCCAGCTCCTTTGTCTCGATGCAGCGCAGGCTCCGTTGCACTGATGTCATGGTCCGTCGTTCCCTGCGTTCCCTGACCCGACATGCTGCACTGCGGAGCAGGTGCCAAAGTTGCAGCTGAACAGCCTACCGCTGCCGGCTCAGTGACTTGGCCTGAAGTGGTTTATTTCTGGGCAGAATTGATGATATTGATGGTTTATTGACCATGAACTGATGTGTATTAACAACAGCCAGATTTGGGTGTGCAAGGATTCAGTAATTGAGGAGGGATTGATTTCTGTTCCAAATTGTTGGTTTCTCACATCTCTGAGTCAGGTGCAGCCTCTTCATGGTGAACAGAGACGCACTTTTCTCTTATCATGCCTGCGCCTTGGGTGCTGAGCCAATGATAACAACGTCCATATCGTAGCGGAAAGTAAGGGGAAATTCTTCATGATGCCATTATTTACAAGGTTGGATGAAACAACTTCAGCCAAATGTCTTTCTTAGCTTTGCGGAGTTGTGGATGGCATCGATAGTTTAAGACTCACCCAGATCACCAGCCAGATCAGATTGGCTTGGCATGAGTGCCATGAAAAGTGCTCAGGAAGCATCGGAGAAGTTTCTTTTCAAAATGATGTCGCTCTTCGTCTCAAGCCCCACACTGAGTTTAAACGCTGCGCCACATTCATTTGTTGGACCGCATCAATCAACAAGGTCACTACAAGAATTCTCCCAACGACCTTCTGCTGATGGCAGATGCACCAGCACATCATTTGTTGGTGCTGTTGGAAACTCGGTCTGCTCGGTGTGGCTTTTCCAGCTTGAAGAGTTCGTGAAGACAACGCAGTGCACGTTGATGCCAAGGTTGCCACCCATCGATGTGGATTCCGAGCAAGCAGACCTTCCAGAAGTCTTGGTTGCGATCCAGTTGCTTGACAAAATTCACCAGATGTTGATGGATGATGATGGTTGTTGAATGTTTGGCAAGTCAAGTCGAGAGAGGACAAAGATGGATGAAGAGGACAACTGGCTTGTGCTTTGAAGAAATACTGACAGTATATTTAATGTTTAAATGTTTATTTTGCTTGACACCGACTTGACACCTATATCTGGAACGAAGCACATCATCAAGGATTTGCGCAGAGGGCGCCCTCTCGCGAGACACGGTCAAGGCGCGGGGGTGAGGGGATCTGTAAAGACACGGGCTACTCCAATATCAATCAAAGCATTGATTTGTGGATTTAAACATGCACAAACATGTGCATATATATACGGAGAGAGAGAGATACATATATATATAGATATAGATATACGGTTCATTTGCAATCTATTCCACCATGCATTCCTTTCAGAAGAGAGAGACAGGCCCTCATGGGTCTCCGCTGCAAAAGTGACAGAGAGCATCGGCCTCACAGGTCTAAGAGGAAAGCATGGACTGGATTAGTGTGGTTGTCCTCACCACAGAAGTTGTTGAAATTGGTTCATTTGCCTCTTCAGTGGCACCACTTCTTGGAACTCTGCAAAAGTCTTGGAAGCACTGGAGACCACATGCAGCTGGTTTCTCCCCTTTCCCAACCCTCAACTCAGCGCCGTTGAAGCGATCGTGCCGGCGTAGGCTTCCTTGAAGCGGGGCTTGCGGCCCTCCGGAGATCTGATCCCATGGACGCTGACGCAGCATTTCCTGCATGACAGCCACAGTCTGAAGGGATGCAGTTTGAGTCTGCTGGTAGTGGATGGAGTGTGCAAAGTAAACAGAAATTGATTGAGTCATACGTTTTTTGGATAAGGGAGCCGTTGGTGCACTTGGTTCCAAGACATGAGAGCAAGAACCAAGTCACAAACAATTAAAAATAAAAGTATGTGTGTATATATATTATACTTATACTTACATATGCATAAACAATTCGATAGTCTGCATTGAGAAATGAGACGTGCTTCTTTGATCAATGACTGGTCAAGTCCAAGTCACCATGACCGAGGCTTTGGGGAGCTGAGTGGTGTGCGAGTGGTGCGAATCGCCACGCACCCCTCCTTGCAGCGCAAAGGCTGGTCTTCAAAGACACACCCTGCTTTTTTGAGCTACATCATGTCACAAACCCAATACATAATATATATATATATATAATAAACCAGAATTGTGGATAGTTGATTATTGGGGTTACCTCATGAATGGATGAATCAGGCTGTCACATTAATGTCTTCCTTAATCTATTTTAGTTGTGTGGCTATGAACTTGATTGACGGAGAACTTGACTGAACTTGACTGTTGGGGTAGGGGTGTTTCCTTAGAGCGAGTAGGGGAGTTGCCTTGACATTTGGATGCTTTGAAATCTTGGAGGTTACGCATCAGAAGCCCTGAAGCAGATGATTGTCCTGCTGCCACGCTTCTGCAAACACGTCCTTGGCGTTGCTGGAAACTCACCCTAGGGGATCACCGAGTTTTAGGTGACCACCGTTGGCGCCAGGCTTGGTTTGAACAAAAGTCGCGAGGAGGTGATTCTTTCGTGGACAAACCTTCCACAAAGTGCTGACCTCAAGCTGGAACCTAGCAGGACCTTCTTGGACCTTCCAAGCAGTTTCAACCAGTTGACACTGCAGGAAGACCTCCACAAAGACGGATTCCTCAGGCAATGGGTATCATGAATTCCTTGGGAATTCCCTGGGGTGATTGGGATCTTTGGCTCGGTATTTGTAGTTCAGACTCACAAAAAGAGAGGGCCAGCATGGGCCAGCCAACTGCAGTTGCATCTGTCAATGGCCTTGGAAACCTTGAGACATTTGAGACCCCATATTTTGATGGTCAAATCTCACCATATGTTGATGGTCAAATCCCATTAAAGTATATATAGTATATTAAAGTAACATCTCCATACCAAAAAAATCTTGGTCAGTATATGTATCAACCCCTTTGAAGCCAGCAGGTGCTGCTCAGTTGCACGAGGAGGACATGCACCCAACCCTGGGGCTCATTGCTGTTCACTTCTACCAATTGCCTTGGTAAAGTATGGTAAAATGCCATAATCAGACTCCATGTCTGAAAATAGGATATCCCGAATTTCCATGAATTTCATGGTTGATCATCATTTTCCCCATCTTTTCCCCATTCACAGATGGCCATTTGATGATACCATGAGATTTCTTGGTTCAGCACGTTGCTTCAGGAGCTTTGCCCACGAGACGTGCCTCCCCTGTTGGAGGCGGTGTCCGAGGTGCCACCACCTTACGACCTGGATTACGTCAAGATACCCGGTTGGCAAAGGCAGCGGCGACTGTCACCATTTGTCCCCATTTGTTTTTGGTGAAAAAGTCAGTTGTGTCAACCTGCTACAGTAACTATATATTCGTATGTGTTTTTGGTAACCTCCAAGTCATGTTTGGTTTAAAACGCCACTATATTGTACATATATATATATATATTAGTGAAAGGGATGGTACTTGCGCAGTAGCTCTCTGCTTTTCGGTTTCAGGCCTGTCTTGCGGGAAAAAAACATGTGAATTTCTTCCAAGAAGCATTTTTTACAAGTGTTCATGTTTGCATCATCTTGCGTCCTTGTATTGGATGTTGGGCCTCATAAAAATTGTATGACCTTCTTGAACAGCAGGAGATTGACTTAAATAGCGGCCTAGGACCTACTGTTTGGCGTTCCACCCCGTGGAATGCGATCAAAATCGATCAAAGTCCCAGCAGATCCCTAAGGTGGGTACTTCCTTTGGCCTCACCTACGAACTGTTCGAGCAACTTGGCGGGATGATGTGACGGACCTGTAGGTGTTCAAAGGTTAAGAATTGTCAGGTTCCATCAAGCTCCTGAAACGGAACATGCATTGTGAAGGGAGGGCGATAGGGATTGCAGTAAGCACCTCGGGGAGTAATTCTGCTGACTTGATCTTACATTCTTACATGGTGAATATCTGCGGAGTGTTGCCCGAGTGGTCCTACAGAGTGCGACGAAACTTATACGTAAATCCTATTAAATCCTCAGAAAAAATCAGAAAGCTGCCAGAAGTAAGACACTTTGCAGTTGCCAATGCCATGTCACAAGGTTTTGGCGACGAGCTGGTTTCAGACCGGTGTATTTGCCTGGAACCCAGCCCAGTGAGAGTCGAATAGGCATCCAATGGGCTGAAGCACGTGCCCGAAGGCGTCAGCAGCCTCACGCGGGAACAGGCCAAGCCTTTGCGTTCGGATCTTTCGGAGTCTCCAAAGATCTAATTACAGTATAACTCTATAAAGATCTGTAAAGATCATTAAAGATTCAAGATCTATAGAGATCTATAAAATTCTATAAAGATATATAAAGATCTATAAATGTACAGTAGAGAGAGAGAGAGAGAGATCGAGATCGATTCGAATCTATACAGTAAATCGATGCAGCCGGATTGTTCAGCTGCCAACTTCCCATGGTCCCATGGCAGGTGAGCACTCAACAATCCTCGTGCGCGCCTTGCAGCCGCTGGAGGGTGAATCAAGAGCAGCACCAGTGGGGGGTCTTGGCTGCGACTGGGGAGGGTTGCTGTTGAGATCCAAGGCATCCAAGGCATAGCATCCCGGCCTTGGACAGTGCCAAGGACCAAACAAAAACATTCAAAAACCACCTAGAGACCTAGAGCCAAAATACTCCAAATATCTCCCAGCATACTCACAGCTACGCTGCACAACAACAGTCCACTTAGGCTGACCTTTCAATTTGTTTGGTTTGTTTGCTGATTCCATCATCTATCCCATTTTATGCAGAGAATCTTTTGTTCATCCGTTCATCCTCTTTTTCCGAGATCCTGGACCACTTCGTGGCAGACTTCCGATTGCGTTTCTTGCGTTTGTTGCAAGGGTGGGACATGGGGGCGCAGCGGATAGGGAGCACGGTGGGAATGATGGTCTGATGTGATTTGGATTGGAGCGATATGGAATGATGCCTAGAATAGGTTATGGTTGCGGTTTGGCTGAAATCCTCTTTCATGTTATACAATGTTATACACAACTTGAGTCCATTTGATGAAAGGTTTGAGGAAACCAAGTCTTACTGCTTACTGACTATGTTTCGTCACTTCGGAGTGAAAAAAAATGGGACCTGGTGTCACGGACCTTAGCTTTCTAGGATGCCGCACAAAGACTTCAAAGGAATCCTTGAGACCTCTGATTTTCACCTATCATCACCTCTTACCACGCATCATCACCAGTGACCACCTCCATCTCTGCGAGCTTGGCCTTTTGCAGGCCCTTTGCCAAGCAGCCAACTCGCTTGGCTCTGTCGGTGGTTGATCCACTACCGCAGGATGTATGGAGCTTGGTAAAGATGGTTTCTGACACTCCACTGGCGCTTTGTAGATTGGAATTGCCGTTTGGGGTCTATGCCGGTATAGCATGATATAATTTCATGATATATAGGATAGATTATCAATATTATTATTATTATGATTATTATTATTTATTATTATTACTATTATTATTAATGATTTTAATGTGTGGCATCTTTTTCTACATGTTCACGGCAGTGTGACTGGGTCCACAAGTTCCGGGTTAGTTCCACTGCTGCCGAGGCAGCAGCTGCTCGTGAGGAGAATGAGGATATGGAGCCAGCAGCACAGACTCCACGTGAAGACTTTGACTTGGCTCAAGCTGTCCAGCAAACAGCCAAAATCGAAACCCTAAAAAAGGCAAGGAGCAATCCAAACAGCCCAAAATCAAGCTCATGCTTTAGGTTTAGGGACAGCCAGGCGCTGGTAGGGCCAGCCTTTCACTGAAAGCAGCGCATCCTTTCCCAGGTCTGCCATTGAGAGTCAGCAGCCACTGACCGCGGCGAGTCTCTTGCAATTCCTGTCACGAGACGATATCCACAGGCTAGTCTGATGGTTTGAGAATTGCAATGGATCGCAAGGCACTGAGACAACGCACATATTCTCAGCAGCATCTCAGTCACACATGAAGTAGATTTGCAAGGCATTCATTCATGCCAAGTTCTTCTGAGTGAGGGTTAAAAGCTGATATGCACAGTCAAATTGTGATAGCATGTGATAGCTATCAAGCATTATCAAGCCATATTGAAAATGATCCTACTTTCATCCCATGGTCCCATTGGATGTTCGATGATGTGATCGATGATGACCCCTGGGGATCCCCATGATGTTTTCCAGCCAGGTTGGAGCAATACGGTCGCAATCTGGTGGAATATGGACTGATCCTGGATGTTGTGCACGCCTGGCGTAGTTTCCCTTTAAATTTCCACCGGGTCGCTGTTCTTCCTGGGTTTGCCGGAGGGTGCTCTGCCAATTCTGCCAGGCCAATGCTGGCATCTTTGTACATGTCCAGAAGGATGCCCTCAGTGCGTCTTTCATCGTTACAGGGTGGGCAGTTCAGTGGAAATCTCCTGGGATATACTGGGCCGGTCGAGTTTGAAGGTTGGTTTCTGTGTGAATCCACTGATGTTTTTTGCGTTAGCCTTGGAAATAGATGTTCCTCGAAAAGGTGTTTGTGTCGTCTTTGGGGGGTATACATAATTTCAGTATCATGTATAGTCATGTTGCTGTACTGGGATTGAGTGTGATAATGGGATATGTGATATAATCCTATGCAATGGAATATAATCAATTCAGATGCAAACCATGGTTCCTCTACTGGCACTTTCTCAGTGCCTTTCTTTGGTACGTATGTTCCCTTCTTTTCAAACATTGATGCTTGCTGTCATCTCTGTCAGGTGCCATACTCCTTGCCGTTGGATGTCAACATCGAACCTTTGATGAGGCAGGGCGCTGAGACACCTTGCGGGCAACAAACACGAATGTTGTTTGATATATTTGTACTGCTGTGTCTATGTGATTAATGTGTATATACAAAAAGAGAGAGAGAGATGAATAGATGAACAACATATGCATAGATATCATAGATTTACCGTGTATAATGTGTGTAAATACACTATATATCACTATATATATATACATATTCCTATACAAATTCTATACATATATCATATATATCTATATATATCACATAGCTATACGATGCATACGATGTTTCCACTCTGCAGATGACCTGCAGGTTTCCCAGGAGTTTAATGCCCCCGCTTCTCAGCTCCTGGCGCTCTTCAATAAGGCCAGCGGCGGGACGGTGAGACAAGGGGCTGATAAATGGTGGCTGATAATCTCAGATCATTTGAGATCTGAGATCATTTGGTATGTGTGTATACATTGTTATATTATATCATTATATCTATATATAGTATTTTTATATACTATATATATGATATGTAATATTTGGTAATGCATTACAGTGTATGATATCTATTGATATGTGATGTGTGATGCATGCGATACGTCTGATATGTGATATGTGAATGGTGTCCAGTGCCTTGCAGGCGATGCACAAATTGTCGAACCATTGCAAGACCTTGCTGGAGCAACAAGTGGAAGAAGAAGGTGAAGCAGAAGGTTTGTCAACTCCTGAGAACAAGGAACTAAGATGAACTAAGCAGCTATCTCTCGAGCGAACCAAAGTAGAAATGCATTTATGATCATTTATGGTAGCAGATAGTAGCATCATCTGATTTCGCATCACGTTAGTCTTTGACGAGTTGAAAGTGACCTGTGACATCACTGCAGGTTTCCCTGATTTGTTCAGGTCTACCAGAGCGATGAAGTCTGGTCAGGCCTTTTGAACAGTTGGTCGACGCTTAGGGTAATGTGGGGATATGGTTTTGTCCAGAAATGAAGTATACCCAAAGTTCAAACGTATCATATTGAAATATATTGGATTTCTCCATGGAAACATGATGATAAACAAATCCATGGGAATTTGGGTTACCCGATTTGCAGTCAAACCAGATGGAACTATACTGCCAGGCTTCATGATTCCACCGCTGCTGATTTGCTTATCTCCTCGAATATATCAGCTCGTCATAATCGGAAAGTTGGCATCTCTCTTGGCTATTTGTAACGCGAGGCACAAATCCCCCTGGAGTTAACAAGTCACGAAAAGATTTGCCAGGTAGTCCAGGGCGGAGCTTTCGTCAAGGACTCCTTGAAGTGCCAATCTCGGATATGGTTCCTGTCAGTTCCTGTCGACAAATGGTGTGGATTGAAGTGTGCCATAGACTTCTGCCCGGCTCATCCAAGGTCAGAGCAACAAGTCGCCGGGCAGAAGGCGTTTTGCGACGACTCGGGTGGTGATGATCAAAGTTGGGGTACCCATGAACAGATGTGTCATGTTTATATATTCATGTTTAGTATTTAGAATGTATTTGACCATACTTAATATGTTTATAGAAGCATCATGAAGCATCCATGTGTTGGGGATTATACGTTTGAACATGTTTGAACCATTTAATTTCAGCCAATCCCACCAGAGAAATTTGAGAATCTGTGATAACAACGATAATATGTTCGGGTGCCTATCTCGAGGAATTGGTTGGGTTACGGTTGAGGTGATTCAAAAATCATCAAAAATCCATAGCGCTGGGGAGTGCTCACCGAGCGATAGCTTCGCAATCAGTAACTCCAGATTTATACCCCAATCGTATGATCGCTCCCAGCCCTGAAGATCCCAAGGCCCAGAAGGTTTATGGAAAGATTGGAAAGCAAGATTCAGCAAGATGTCTAGAGAGAGAGAGTTTTTTTTGTCGAAGCGTGCATGTATAGGAGACAAGATGTGTGCATGTTTGAGACAATTGATACATTCGTTGGTTTTTCCATGGTTCTTGCAAAGTGCGCCGCGGGTGTCTGCAGAACACATGTGATGTTGTCTTACAACAGGTGTTGAACAGGTGGGGGCTCTTGGATGACGCCAAACTATCGACACTTGCGCCTTCGTGGCAGGTGAATAAGAAGTTAGAAGAGAAGCGGAAAGAGTTGCCAGCTCCTCAAAAGGATGCCTGGGCATGCCATATGTTCATACATATTCATACAACGTGTGGGAAGGAACATCAATATGATCATTATGCTCCTCAGAAGCCTGTGGTGTTTGGGGTTCGAGGCTGTCTACCTTGACAGAGGAGAAGTTTGCCATTGCGCCCAGCACAGAGGACTCAATTGGCATTGCAGGGGGATAGTGCCGCATAATGAGAATCATCGAAAAACGCATGAGCATACATGGGCTATTGTGGGTAGATAGATGCATGGGTGGATAGACAGAGACCTAATTAGAGAGAGAGAGAACAAATTAATATATGATTAATTATAATAGTATACAATATGTAGTATATCATATACATGCGTGTATATATATATATGTGTGTCTTTCACTTGTTCATCTATTCATGCATTTATTCATTCATTCATTCATTCATTCATTCATTTGTTTATACATTATGTATATTTATGTATGTATTTATGGTGTTGGCATTTGCCTAACTCGACTATGAGGACTTCTCCGAAGCTTTGCAAGGGAGTGCTCCCTCAGGTGCGAATGAAAAGCTTCGATCGTGGTTTAGTCTCATGATAATACTGGTTTACCCCCTTGGATGAAATAGCAGCAAACAGTAGAAATGATTAAGAAAAAGTCGGCTTCTGCAGCATGTTCAACTTGTATTCGTTCACCGGAAATACAATTGCAAGCCCTTCAGGACACGTCAGTACAGAGGAGTTTGTTGCTGATGTTTGTGCTTCATATCGCTTGAGACCGTCAATACTCCGCTCGGTCCGGCAATGTGGATTGGCAGTGCTGTCATCATCGCAGGCACTGTGTCAGTCAAGAAGAAGCGGCAGAACGATGCCGGAGCTGCGCAACAAGGCACCAGAACGCCAGCTGTTTGGCGATTCTGTTCGGCTGAACGTGCAATGTCTGAAGGAAAAAAACGAAAATCTGGCTGACTCCATAGGTGCGAATCTCAGCAATGAAGCTATGAACTTGGGAAGGAGAGGAACAGGAGCAGAACTGGGGCTGCTGAGCCAAGAAAAGCTGAGACTGCCTGAAAATTTCACTGAAAGCTGTAGCAATTTGAGATTCTATGCGCAATTTGCTTTGCCAAACAAACGGCGGAATCGTTCGCCATGTTTTTGTTAATCCCTGTGCATGTTTGACTCAGCCTTGAGACAGCCCAGGTTATTTTGCCCGTGTGGACGGAGAAAAAGTCGCAGCTTCCAAGTGGGTGGTCAGGACATGGCGTGAACAAAGATTACTATAGTTCGTGTCTCAACCAACCGAATGTGTTCCAGAAGCTTGACATGTTGCTGAGAGTCCAGAATGAAGCAGCATGAAGCAGCGGAGCCCTTTCTGATAGAGGAGACTAGCCTTCTAGAGTTCTTGCAACATCAAGTGAAGCAAATATACCTTGAATACGAAGGCAATCACCAGCCTCAGCGTTTAGACCTGGTGTGTGCCGTCTTGTTGCAACCTTGCACATTGCAGCATGGATATGGTGGAAAAATGTCAGTTGACAAAAGTGCTCCAGATGGGTTTGTCCCAAAATCAGGGAATACCATGGAATACCCCAATTTGTGGCCCTGACATCAGGGAAATGATGGCTTTCTAAACCAGAGGATTTTGGGGTACACGGGGTACACTGTTTTTGGATCAAGCTGAGCGAAGACCAGAGCTGCGCGACTAAAAAGCACGGAGCCCAGAAGTATGGAACATTCCTCAATAGAAAAATCGTCTATGACTAGGCCATTTTCCATAGCTATGTTAGATTACCAGGAGGCACCTAGCTTCTGGTGCCTTTTGTGAAGGAAGCTGTTCCTTCGCGCTTGAAACAGGGAGCTGTGGGTGTGTTTTTTTTTCCCCATGAGAATTGATTGAATATGCCATATGCCATAAATCATCCCCAGTCATCCCGTTTCAGAGCGACCATAAGGCCACAGTGGCACTTGAAGGCACCTTGACAGCACTGACAAGCTCGTGATTTTTTGTTTGTCATATTGAGTATGAACGCACAATACGAGTAGCCCAATGAATATCATCATATTACATCATATGACATGGGAAGTCCGTGTGAGCAGGCGAATTCCCACAGGGATCATATTATTGGACATTATCAGCATGTGAAAAGGCGATGATGATTCCTATTGATATAAAATGATATTTTTAAGTCGGTAAATGTCGGTAAAACATGGTTTTCAACAACATCCACGTTGGGCGCCGATGATTTTGACCAAGTCGTCAATCACCGGATCACCGTTGCGCGGCTTGGCACAGGTCGCTCGTTGCGATAGGAAATGGCAGCGATTCCGAAGAGGTGCAGCACTTCCGAATTTGTCGAAAGTCATCGGGGATGGATTGATTTATTGAGCAATGGTCAAGACCCTGTTGGAACATGCTTTATTTATATAGATGATAACTGATGATAAGTGATGATAATAGATAATGATGATAATGATGAGAATGGATGGTTTATATGGATGATAATAGATATGTATTTCGTTTATATAATGATGATAATGGATGGTAGTGGGTGTCATGGTGCAAGACAGGAATCCGGTTTAAACCAGCTGAATAATAGACAGGAACATATCCACGAACCAAAATAGGCGGTTTGAAGTTCGCTCAATCGGATTGAGTCTTCCTAGTAAATGGAAATGATGACCACTTGGATTTCATCGTGGCAAAATGTTCATTGAAACCGATGGATTTGGTCTTCGTCATTCCGTTGTCCTGAAGAGGATCGAAAAAGAAACACAGAAACTGGAGACAGAGCCACGTGTCTGCCTTAGATCCCGGAATGACCCGCATGGCGCCGTTCTGCAGAAAGAGCCTGAACATGACATGTAAACCAAACTTGGTTTGCAAAAGCTAAGGCAGCTTCTAGAGTTCTAGAATGGTTGAACTTGCAGTTGGCTTTGAGGTACATCATGTTCATTATGTCTAGCATTGTGTCTAGCAGGCCTTTGTGCTTAGTACTCACTACTCAATTGCATTCAATTGCAATATGTGTCTCTCTTGATTTTTTATCACAAGATGTTTGCCACTGCACCGCCTCAGCTCCGGGTGTGCAAGCAAAGCCTGATCCGGAATGCCTGGCATGTCTTGTTGAAGTGACACAGATTGCCCTCAGATTGCTATCGCTTTGGTCCGGGTGTTCGCCCGAATATGCGGATGTTGTGCTGGTTGTGATGTGAACATAGCAAGTCTTTTCAGGCCAACTATCGCTACTTTCACATCATGATGTCTGGACCAACAGGGACTCCATACGAAGGCCAGGGAGCCGCTTAGAGTCCAAAAAATGATGGTAGACCTTTGGAAGTTCTGGGTATCCCATTTTAAGGCAAACCCATATCAGCCCATATTCTAATGTGATCGTCAAAAACAGGCATGCTGAAATATGCTGAATCAAAATCTATGAGGATGAAACAAGGAATTGGCTCTGTGAACCTAAACGAAGAAACCATAAGAAACCTATGCACGAATAGTAGACATGCAATAGGTGCCGTCCGATGACACAGCAGCGGTTGGTGTGTATTCTAATGTGCCACCGATATTTCTTTCTCTTTGTTGATTCTGGTGTTTACTTTGAAAAGTCCAGGAGGCCACTTCTGCAGCACCGCAGGTGGCAACTACCGCATGGAGTTGTTTCTGCCAGAGGGCTACCCAATGGAGCCACCAAAGGCTGGCTTTCAGATGGTGCTTGTTGCTGAGATGAACGTCAACGGTTAGGAAAGTGTGGGCAGAAAGATGCGCAGCCAGCTGATTTGTGAGATGTGTGAGATGAAGAATCTTCCAAGAAGCTGCCAATTGAGCCGGACAGGTCCGTTTCTTGACAAAGATCTATCATCCCAACATTGCTGATGCCCAAGTTTTGCATGCATTGCTTCAAATGCATCCATTCATGCACGGATTATCACTGATTGTATTGTCGAGATGAATTTCCGTGAACCCAGAGCACCGCTTATCCATACGCTTCCTGGTTGGTGGTTTTACGGTTTTATGTGTGTTTGATCCGCAAGTCTTTGTCTGATGATCAACCCCAAGTGGCCCTTCTAAAGCGGGTTGAAACCTGCAAACGGATTAGCACGAGGACAAGCTGGGCCGCATTTGCCTGGACGTGTTGAAGGAGCCCTGCACAGTCTTGTCAAGTGTTGCTTTGCAGCCTCGTTCAACAAGTGGTTGAGGAGAAAGTTGCAGGAAAACCCTATTTCTTGATATGCCTTGTGTTGAAAATAGTGGCTTCATGCAAGCTTTACCTCAAATCAACCCACTGAAAGAAGGGCCAAGAAAATTCAAACTTCACTTTTCAATGTGGTATGACTGATTTGGAAGATCTGTAGATCTGCCACCGTGCCCAAGGACAAATGGAGCCCAGCGCTCCAAATTCGAACTGTGCTGCTAAGCATTCAGGCACGGGAGACAGATGTGACAGATGTGTTGCATGTCAGTTTCAAAACCAAAAGACATCGAAGATCATCGAAGATCATCGAAGATGTTCAGAAGAGACGTGTCCAAGACGAACTAAGGCAACCTTAGTATACTAAGGGTATTATTGGAGGTTATCCATGGGCAGAATGAAACACCAGTTGGAAGGCTATATAAATTGTTCTGATTCCACTGGCAATGTTGCGTAGGTAGATACGTACGTTAAAGCCTATGGAGAAGACAGATCAGGTAGAGACAAGGAAGACTCAATAGATCACACATCGATAGATGGACAGATGTTGATAAGAAGTTGTAGGTATACTGATTTAAGAAATACATCAAGGTTGAATGTTTGAAATTATTGCTGCAAGAGTGGGTCCAGGGTTGCAGCCAGCTGTTTCAGGCCTTGCTGAGTACTCCAGAACCATCGGATCCATTGGGTGAAAGTTCCCAGCAAATCTGAATGCCTTGTCTTGAACTTCAGTAACATGCAGCAGCTGCAGCAGATTGTAGAACGGGACACGGCGAAGCAACTGTAGTGTTTTAATGTGTTTTATCGTGCATGTGCATGGTGTGTTTTGATCATTTCACTGCCCACGTTGAAGACTTTGTGCACTGAAGGGTGTCTCTAAGTTTGTTCAGCAGACAGGCGTGAAATGGCGTGAAATTTTGATGAAATTTGCTTCCAACAAATCAGCGCTTGTTTTGCTAAGACACCAATGTCGCCGATCACTTCATCAAAGATCGTGCTGGTGCTGAACAACAAGGCCGCAGCAAGCCCTGACTGCTGCAACAGACCTGGCAGATTTGTCTCCTTTGCATCTGTGAAACGGAAAGTCCCTGGTCAAAGTCAAACTTCAGATGATTTCCGATGTGTCATGTCTTGAATTCTTGTATTCAATATGCCGTGCTCACTTCAGATTGTTCAAGTGCTGATTCCCGCTCACCCCTGCGCAGCCAAAGAGTGGAATGCCCAATTTGCTATGAGCGCTAGCTGAGAAGGCCGGTGCCCGTGCTGAAAAAAAACACGTCACCTTGCCGGCTTCTTGAGCCGAAGGGTTTTCACAGAGGCCCACGAAAATCGCCAGAATTCTTCATGTTCTCCCATGTTCTCCCAGAGCTGGAAAGCTTATGATTTGTCCTGGAATTTGTGGAAGCAGCTGTTTGCCATGATGTTGGCCTCTACTCCCCCACTGCAAATCAAGCAAAACTAGAGCTTGCAGTGAGGCGCACAGTCTTGGCAAGTGGTACAGTCAGTTTTCAAAAGGAATCATGCAAGTTCAACTTACGAGTCTTTTTTTCCAAAGTCCCTTCGAAATCCTTCGACTAGTTTTGTATTGCCAAGCGTGCTCAAATGCCGGGGCGCCGATTGACAGCACGATACCAACAGCCAAGTGGGCTTTTTGGCGGAGTGCCGTTGAAATCAAATCGAAAGATGCAAATCAACCTGTCCCTGAGCTCAGAACTTAGCTGACTTAGCTTAGTTGAAGACGGTGAGAGCTGTTTTGCGGCCCCTCCAAAACAAAAGGCTTCAAACTTCAAACATTCTACAACTATCTACAACCATTGACTTCCATGAATCCACAAAGCACATGTACTTTGTTGTGAGGCTAGCATCTTGCATCTAAATTGAGGAAGAGTTTCATGCGCGGTAGCTGTGAGCGAGAAATTGCTGGCTGCGCTTCCCATGCAGTTCCTTGAAGGATAGCGATGATTAAAGGCTGGCTCAATTTTGCCGCGATGACTGCTTGAAGCCATAATAAATCCTGAATGCCAAGAAAAAAA